CAGGGCACTGACGGGTCACCAGTGCCCTGTTCCATGCCCAAATCATTTGCGGTTGGGGTTTAGAGTCTTTTGCCACCTGTCCGGCAGCCTCGCACCACGCTGCAGGGATGCAAAACGTCCCGGACTACCTGAGGTCCCCGAACCTCTTTGTGTGCATGAACAACCCTTCTGCAACAGGCGCCAGCCGTTTCCAAACCCTAAACGGCCCTAAACCCTAAACCCTAAACCCTAAACCCCCATGAGAAGAGCCCGCCTGGAGGAGGCCTCGCCTTGAGACTCCGACTCTCATAGCCTCATCTTCGGCTCGGAAGTGTGCCAAGTTTTAGGGGTATAGGTTGCTTCTTTTAGTTCTTTATTTCCTTATTTCTCTATTTTCTGTATTTCTGCATTTCTGTGTGTATTTCTTTCTTTCTTTCGTTCTTTCGTTCTTTCTTTCTTTTCTTTCGTTCTGTTTTTGGGTATAGGGTTTAGGGTTTAAGGATTTAGGTAGGTTTCAAGGTCTCAGGGTTGAGGTATGGTTTCAGGGTGCAACACCATCCATGCAACGTGGGCCAGCTTTCAGGTGCTTCATGCCTTGGGCTTAGGGCTTTTTGCTTAGGGTTTAGGTTTTTGGGGTTTAGGGTTTAGGGGTCTAGGGGTTTAGGGGTTAGGGTTTAGGGTTTAGGGTTTGGGGTTTAGGGTTTAGGGTTTGGGGTTTAGGGTTTAGGGTTTAGGGTTTAGGGTTTAAGAACCCCAGCAAACTCGATCAAGACTTGGCCCCAATCTTTGTTTGAAGGCCTCTTCACTTTTAGCGCTTGCCAAAGCTTGGCGAACTCCTGCCTTCCCGACCCTTCCGTCTTCAACCAACCCTAACCCAAACCTATATCGGGCAGAACCGGGTCGGAAACGCCCAGGCATGCTGGTGTAGGCCGGTGAACCCCTCAAAACAACACGGCGCCAAACTTCTTAGGCAACCATGCCTCTCCATGCAATGGTTACCAGACTCTTCTATCGAGCAGCGTGGAGATGGGTCCTCGTTGGCCTCACCAACCTGAGGCGATTGGGGTTTTGGGGTTTCGGGTTTAGGCTTAGGGTTTAGGGCGAGGATATCTTCGAGCTTTCAGGTGGCTTTTGGCGCGCATCAGAGGATGTTGGGGATCGGCAACCGTAGAGCCTTTGTTAATTCGCCCTCTTTTTTGTTAAAGCCCCTCTTCTGTTTTTGAAAGCCCTCGTTTGGGGGGCACTGCCATGCACTTGACAGAGCACCCCATGCGAACCGGGCAGGGCTCCCTTACGAGTTGAACCCGCGCGTTCGGCTCTAAGCGCTGCGCTGCAGTTGCCGAATCCTACCAGCCGCTAGCCCATGTCGGTCCAAATCAGAAAGAACCCTTCCCCCCAACTGCATGGCCTGCGAGGGTGCTCGGAACTGCCTCGGTTTCGTCGCAGTCGGGGACATACTGTCTGAAGCGGACTGTGTCTAGCGATGCTAATCTATGAGGACATCCAGAAGAAAGTGACGGCAAAGGCCTGCGAAATGTTCCTACGCACCATGCTACCCCTGCCCAGGCCCTGAATGTTGGCCAGGGAACATTGATGCTGGTTCCCGAGCGTGAACTTGCACAGGGGTGCTACCTGCCGGTAATAAGGCGAACACTGCGACGGGAACTGCAGTACAGATTGCGCATTTGAGGCCCTGCTGCCGACGCCACATCCCCCAAGCCCGATGACCCACAGCCTTTGAGATCAAAAAACGCTTGAATTCCCCCATATAATCCCTATACATATATATATATATATACCTGATATAGCCCCTAATTACCCAAGAAGCCCCCCAACTAACCCCGAAATGACCCCTAAGGTCCCTTATAAGGGTCCCTCCTGTAGTCCCTTGATTGAACTAAGTCCGGACAGCCTGAGGTGTAGTCGGAGTGGGTTTGGCTGCCTGGGGAAGCCTTGGACAGGCGTGTTTAGGGTTTAGGGTTTAAGGATTTTTAGGATTGACCGTGTCGAACGGAAGAGGGAAAACTACGCCGCACACTATTCAATGAGCGACGAAAGGAGTTGAATGGGACCGCTTTCTTTGCTGACTCTTCACTCTTAATTGCTATCTTCTGGGCTCTAGGTGCTCAGTTGCAGGAACAAGTAGCAAAGTCTTTGGCTGTGACAGGACAAGGCTTCTTGTTTCTGCCAGTTGGTCGTTGATTTAAGCACGGGCGATGCCAAGTGACCCCGGGTGCTTTGGCTGCGCATGATACATGCTTGGGTCACAAGATGTCACATGCACTTGCATACAACAACTGTGGCATCTGCAGACATCAGAAACCTGGGACGGTTGGAAACGCACCGTATGCAGGCAGCAAAACTGAAACATTCCAGTAAGCACCCTTCAGCAACTGAATAGCGGACCTGTAGCGGACCTGTAATGGAACTGTAACGGTAAAGGAGCTGTAACGCAGGTGCAACAGAGCTGTACCGGTGCTGTAATGGAGCTGCAACGGAGCTATGACGGAGCTGGAACGGAATCTGTAGCGGAGCTGTAACGGAGGTGCAACGGAGCTGTAACGGAGCTGCAATGGAGCCGTACCGGAAGCTGTGACGGAGCTGTAATCGAGCTGTAACGGCTACACCGAAGGACATGAGGAGCTCCTAGGCCCGACACGCCCCCCCCTCCCCCCCAAAACAAAAAACAAAAAAACGGCACATGGTTCAGGTATGCCGGCAGCGATGGGTCAGCAATGTTGATCCGAGGGGCCACAGTGGTCATCATGGCCGTCGACTCATCGCGAGAGAAGCTCTGAACTGAGGCACTCCTTTGCAGGTACTTCCCGTGCAAACACTGAAAAGTGTTTCTACCGCGGTCGACACATAAATGCGTACCCAATGCGTCTTATTGCATCAGATACCGTTCCCTACCCATGCCTGCCTAGCCGAGACGTAACCCTGTTTCCAGGGCTCACATTGAGTAGACTGGGGCAGGATAGGTTAAGGTATCGGGGCAGAGTAGGGTGGGCGCAGGGTGTGAGAGCGTTTATAGTTGCGCATTGCTTCGAGGACTTCTTCCCCGCCACGGCGGATGTTCAATCGGGATGAATGGAGCATCAAGGACGTGCTTAGAAGATGTACCTGGGTACCTACAGCAGCCGTGTCTGTGGAGCTTGAAGTCTGAGAAGGGGCAACACAGGCACACATTCGAAGCAGGATGTTGTAGACATTTATGGTCGCGAGCCACCCTGAACCCTAGAACATCCTAAAACCATGGGCGCTTGAAGACAGGCAGCGACTTTGTGAGCTGTCTGGTGGGCGGCGCCGCCCTCGGAAGAAGCATCTGCGGTCCACAGCATGTGAGCAGGGCTAGGGCTTAATTAGGGTTCAGGGTTTAGGGTTTAGGGTTCTCTGTATCTGAGCAACTGAGCGCGACTGCACTGTGAACCAGCACATCATCGGGACTAGCCCGTCAGCAGCACTGAGAGGCTACAGGGCGACATCCCAATTCACGTTGAGGGTTTAGGGTTCGAACAGAATAAAACTGCCAGTGAGGCCACTTGCAGGTAGGTGATCTTGTTCTCATGCTGCCATTGCCATCACGTAGTCTGCCAACGGCACAACGACAGCAATGCTTATGCTAACTGCATCCGAGTCTCTTGAGCTCCAACGTCATTGACTCGAAGGTCCGGGGAGCGCCCTCTACTATCTTCTGAAGTGGGCCGCTGGGCTTTAAAAAAAGGCCGCGGCTCAGCAGACAGGTTTGCTAACATGTGCAAGTAAGAGAGTGCATGGCTTCAGCTGTGTATGATCTGGCTCAGCGCATCCAAACTTTCGACAACCACCCTAAACCCTAAGCCCTAAGAGGCAGCGAGAGGAGCCCTGCAACCCGACCATCGGAGGCAGATGTGGGAAGGTAGGTGTGGGCAGATGCGGATGCGCACACTGACGCGCGGATGGACCACGACGGCCACGCCACGACCACACAACGGCCCCGAACCCACCCCGGCGGCTTCAACTGCAGCCTTCACCCACAACTTCTCTGCGTGTTGCAATATGTTGCAGCATGGCATACACATACACATGCACGAGGGAGGCAAGTGTTTTGATACAATGATGTACAAAGATGAATGAGTTTATGTGGTTTCTGCTTCAATGCCCCGAAATTGTGGATCAGAGTTCTGGACCAGAATGCTTGTACGTAGGTGGCCAGGACCAAGAGCTGCACCACCTGGGCTTCACTTGATGCGGCACTGTATGTACTGAGATTTGTATAGGTTCCACAAAGGGGTGATAACACCCTACATGTTCCAGAAAGGGGCGATAACACCCTACAAGTGGAATCCTTGAAAGAGGCCCCCTCGAGATTTTGTTAGGGTTGATTGTTAGGAGTGTCAGGCCTAACATTCGAGGCCATGATTCTGGGCGCATGACAAGTTTGAAAGGTCAGAACCGCGCTGCAAGGATGTCTTCTACGATGGACCACCACATGCCACCAAGATGTACAGCAGTCGCAAAAACAAGTTACCAGCACAGAGGCTCTTCTGTCTCTAAGGCTCACTCTCAAGATCATTGCGCACCTCAAGCCCGAGGCCTGCTAGTCCACCGTATCAGGTCTCAGGGAAACGGCTTGCGTTCCTCCATGTTCTACCATTTTCTACCCACCTCCACGTTTGCTCATGCTTGCAGCAGGCAGATGAGACGACCACAGCCCCTACAAGAAGAGACAAAGAATGAAGGCAACGTGCGTGCGCTTTCGTGACTTGTCCAAGGCTTCAGCCAGCAGCGCCAAGTACGGAAACCTGTCAGACAACTGAAGACACACAGGTAGTGAAGATCGCCTTTCGCTCATTCAACTTTTATGCACGGGATGCATAAGAATCTTAGAGAGGGCGCAAGCAATTGAACAAAAAAAGGCACCGCCATCAGCCTCTCAGCCCTCTTGGCCCTTGGGGTTATTTTGGTATAGCGCTCTTTTGATCCTCTGGTGTGACGCTGCCAGTAGTGGCCGCGCAGCGACCCGAGTAGTTGGGTCCCGATCATCCGAGAAAACGCCCCCAAAAAGGAAGCCCAATCTGTGCTTCTTCGAAGTTTGGGAATTTGTGCTCTTTCAAGAGCTCTTCCGGGATAGTGTCCTTGTTCACTTTTGCATCTGCCACGAGCCATTGCCAGAAGTTCATTCCATAGATGATGTTGTCCTCAGCTCTTCGAGATCTTCTGTCTCTGCGGGACATGCGCCGGCTGTGCTTGCATGTACGATGTGGCTGCCACCGTGTTCGTGCTATCCCACGCTCTTCCCTAGGCAGTTCTATCGGACTCTCTATCTATCAGATGAGGTGACGTGTACAAGACGGTACAGCATGGGACAGCTAAGGCCAGGTCCGAGCATTGGTGCATCGACAACACTGGAAGCCCACACTCATGTGGCACTGACGGCATCATGCGGTGCCCTGCGATGGGAACCAAACGATGCAGGGACGCTTGCTTCTTCACCTCCTCCAGGTCGCGGGAGCCGACCAACTCCCAAATTTCGTCTGGAACGTCCTCTTCCTCTTCAGGCGTGGCATTCCACAACAGCTGCTGCGAGACTGTGTCCGCCTCGAATCCGACCATCACTGAGTCTTTGATCAACTCTCGCCAGTTGTGCCATTTCGTTGGCAGACCGACTTGCAGAAACTCCCGGAGTTCGGGTGGGAAGGTGAAACCAAACTTCGCCTCGGCTTTCTCAACCTCTTCATCGGTAAGGCCAGGCAGAATTTCGACGCCCATGGAGGCCTGCGCCGTGCCATGTACCGTGCTTGGCTATAATAGTGCCCGATTCACTGTGGGACAGGTGACAGGCAATGTCGAACATTCAGCGGGGGTTAGTTGGCAGGCCGAAACACACCTGGAAAAACCTCTCTACCTCCGAGCGCCATGACAGCTGGCGTTCACGCTCGGTTTGCCTGCATCTGCTGGATCTTCTCGGTGAGATCCTGGTATCTTGAGATGGTCAGATCTGCTACAAGTACGCGGTGTGGTCTATGCAGGTCGGTTGTGGAATGAAATTCTTCTCGGTGTGGTCGGATCACAACTTTGGTAAATACGCCAGCATCGACCACAACCAGCTGACAAAAAACTCCATGAGAGAGAAGACGAGAGTGAAGAGATGATCCGCTTCTACGTGCAGAAGGGAGACGAGAGCATGGTGCGGCCACTGATCTGGTTTTTACGTCGAGGGAGGGAGAGCAAAGCAAACAAGCGAGAGGATCTGGGGGCAGACAAGAAAAGAGACAAGAGTGCACACAAAGAGAGGAAGGCGGCCCTAGGGCGCGTCTAGTGATCTGGCGCCCCGCCGTCTAGAGACAGAAAGGGAACAAGATGTGAGACAAGGGAGGGGGCCGTGTCCAGTGGTCCGGTTCTGCGTTTGGAGGGAGACAATGGAAATAAGAACGGCGCCTGGAGGGAGACACTGGCAATAAGAACGGCGACAAGCTGGGGGGGGGGGGGGGGGGGGGGGGGGGCACGTGTAGTGATCTGGTTGGGCAGAGGGTTTGGGGGACGTGACCGGGCGGGGGGCGGAAGGGCGGCGGGGGGGTGGGGGACATGGAATCCTGTAGGGATTACAACGTTGCTTCTTGAGAGCCATCGTAAGGCTTAATCCGGATGCCTGAGCCACCACCTGCAGCTGGACTTCGGCCGCAAAGCCTGTCGCTGCCAGGGACGAATCCCCACGGAGAATCTCGCTGTCCTGCACACAGCATGTCGGGCATCGGATATAGAACTTGTTTGGATGCGACAGATTGAGTTAGAGCGGTCTGTTAAGGAGGAATGAGGTACTGCTAGGGTTACTCAAGCTTGTTTACCCGCAGTGACTGCTGGGCCCCTCCGCGATCCCTCGGCCTTCACAAGCTGTACACGGTGGGACTGCTTCTTCAGGCCACGGGCTATACGCCGGTGCAAAGCCTCCACACTCTCGCCTTGCTATCACGGTCACTGGTTCGGCTTGACATCTTAAGTATGGGCTTCCATGGGCTGTCTCGCACTCAAAATCCGACCTGCACCGGTTCGCATGTGACGTGGGCTACTAGTTCCGGCACGAGTCTCGAATCGCCAAAAGGTTAGGAACCATTAAAGGCCCCCTGTCGAAGACTGGTGAGCTGGCTTAAGTGAAACTTGTGAGTTCTGATGCTAAGCCATTGATGCTGATAAGTTTCAGCCCAGGCACGCGACGGGACGCTTTCAGGACCCCAAATGAGGTCACCTCCAGTACTTCAGGCTGATTTCACTGTGGCCTGACTTTCCTCCACAGCATATCATACCATCTTACTGTTCGAGGGCATCATTGGTCGGCTCTATGATTCTGATGTTTTGGCAACATCAAATAAAGCAGCAGCTGTTTAAGATCTGCCATGCAGCCGGACAAGTTGACGGCAGTGATGGTCACACAACCGTCTTCCGATGCGACGGCGGGGGTCGACGCGTCAGCTTCGCCGGCGGCAGACATGGGGAGGGAGAGTCAGCTGGTGAGTAAACTTTGAGCAGCTCGGGAGGGGCGCAAGACTCAAACAGACCTTGCAGATGTGCACAGCAAAGACTGGCTGTGGATCGACGTTTTGCGACTCACAAGGATGCGGCTGCGACCTTGGAAGTGGCGAATTTCGGCGTCCCCCTGGTCTTGAGAGCGCCCCAGCACTCTGCGGCTCGCTGCTACATTATTCCTAGCCCGAGCCTAAAGATCCTTAAGCCGCCTGTCGTGTGACATCGTGTGACTATAGAGTCTGTCTACAGCAGGACCTGCTGCGACTCTGCGCACCTGTTCTTCTGCTTACCTCACCATATGTCCATGGGGTGTGAAACTCACTGGGTGCATCTCAGAGGACAGCAGTGGCCACCCGGCGCCTGTTCCAAAAGCTGGTGGCAAGAAAGAACGCCCGGAGTGCTTCAGTGAACGCACTTCCTAAGTTTGAAGGGACCGCATCCTTCATCAATCCAAGGCTTGAAAACGAGGGGAGAGTTCTGAAACCTGCTTTTGGAGCCGATGCTCAGATTGCTCAGGCCAAGACGACGTCACGGCGGAAAGCGATGCTCCGCAGCAGCTCTGGCGCTTCGGAGTCCTGGGACCCCAAGCTGGTGGAGCCCTCATGGCTGGGTTTCGGGTGCAGGGTGTTAGGGTTCAGGTTTTTCCTTTTTGTTTTTAGGGTCTTGGGGTTTTGGGGTCTTGGGGTCTTGGGGTCTTGGGGTCTTGGGGTCTTGGGGTCTTGGGGTTTTGGGGTTTTGGGGTTTTGGGGTTTGGGGGTTTTGGGGTTTTGGGCCCCTTCCCCCCCCCCCTTCACTACAGGCAGGAAATTCATAGTCTGCGTGTGCACTAGTAATCACATGGATCCGAAAGCCCCCGCCACCTTATCATTCCTGAGGGAACTTCCTGGGACCCAGACTTCTTCAGAGACTGCACGGAACGTGTACAAAGGTGAACAAACAACTCCGGAAGGCTTCGACGCAGAGATTTGCAGTCTTTTAGAGCATTAGGGTTTGGGTTTAGGGTTTAGGGTTTAGGGTAGAGCCCACGACAAGGATTTGCCCAGCTTGCTGCTGATAAGCTACCTGATGCTTCGAAGAAGGACATCGATGGCAGGGGTGGCGTGTCACTCTGGACCATGTTGAGCGAGAAGGCTTTCGTGGCGCTGCTGGGAAATGCGCGTGTTGGAACCTTGCGGGACGTCAACCAAAGCGCAAAGAACTCAAGGCATTTCCAATTCTGAACAAAACGGGCTTTCGCTCAAAGCGGAGCCAAACCCTAAACCCTAAACCCTAAGCCCTAAACCCTAAAAACCCTAAACCCCCTACCCGCCGGTTGGCACCAAGAAGCACCAGGCTGGACACTTGGCGCAGCCAGCGGAGACTGGATGTCTCGAGCTGCAGGTGCAAATGACAATGCTGCAGCACCTGGGCTGGGCTGTTTTTTGAGGTGCTCTGAAGCAGCACCGGTTAACATTGCCCGCATGAAGACCCTGAAATTCCAAAGTCGCAGTTGGCAGTTTCGTCAAGAATGCCCGCCTTGCTTGAGGAGGAATCATCGGGGCAATGTTCACCTGGGCCCATCCCCCCTGACTACCTCGATGCCGAGGGGCGTGTCACTGTGCTTGAGAAGCCCCCATGAGAGATCGCGGCCATGGGCGTCTGGGCCTGCATTCGTGCTGCTTGGTTGGCCACAAGTTTACGCAAGCGGAAGGGTCAAAACAGCTGCAAGCAAACTCTTCGATACGAAGCACGATAAATTTCACGGTCTTCTCGCATCTCACGCTCACACACCTGTTAGAGCTGCTATTGTGCTATTGGTTTCTAGTGCTGCTGTTCTTCCTCGATGTTTCGTGCATGTGCATGCCGCCTGCATGACAGGATCTGCAAGGTCCCTGAGCTCTTTGCGAGTTGTCACCTGGGCTTCAGGCACGCGAAGAGGGAAGAGACCCATTCCAGCGCACCTACTCCAATTCGTAACCCTGCAGAAAGCAGACACGCCAGAAGGATGCTAGTTTGTGCAACATGCCAAACCAAAACTCGCCTATACAGTCGCTACAGTAAGATGAGCAAGCAGACCTCGGCTCAGAACGGGATGAAAACTTCGTTCCCGAATGCGTAGCACAAAGGTTCCCGTTTCCAGGGTTGGGGATCTTGAAGAGGTGACCAAACTCCTTCCGCGCTCGCCAACGAAAGTGTCCGCTAAGAATTTGCCAGGCGATCGCGAGCCTCGCATGACGGCGGTAGTTGCGGAAGCCTGCATTAAAGCATCGCTTCACGATTTCTTCGTGAGTGTCTCGCAAAACCAGTAATTGCGCCTGCGTTCATCGTTTGCATCGTTTTGCGATGTCTGGCTCTACGTGAGTGTCGAATAGAAGCAGAAAGTTGCGGAAGCCTGCGTTGTGACATCGCTTCGTGATGTCTTCGTGTACGGAATCCTGCGTTTTCGTTTCGACTCGCCATGTCTTCGCGAGTGTCGCTCAAAGGTTGCGGTTGCAGAAGCCATGTGTTTTGGCATCGTCTCACGGTGAGTCACCAGAGGCATCGACCCCGCATTGTCGCACACGGTGACACGGTGACTTGCGATGATTTCTCAAAGTCAGTTCATGCAGACTCATGGGCCATTCCGAAATCGAATGCTTGCGCTGCTAAACAGAGAGAGAGAGAGAGAGAGAAAAAAAAAAAAAGAGAGCTTTGTCAGCTTTCGGCTCGCCTTCTAAGGGTAGTTACATGGTCCCTTAGTATGGGCCCTGAAAAGGGTGCTCCTTATATACTTCCCATATGACTCATATGACCTATACAAATGAGGGCCCATACATCAGAACCCTTTGAAGGAGGTTAGGGACCATATTAAGGGCCCATGAAACTACCCTCAGACTCTTGCCGAAGCAAAAAGCGTTAGGAATTCATCCCTCTCATTTGCACCAGGCAGGGCAAATGACCGCGTCAAAAATGCCAGAGCTGGTGGCTATGCGTTGCGGCCGCCAGCATTTCTCACGTGGAATAGCTGACTAGCCCAGCTTTAATTACGTACAGTTTAAGAAGCATCAGGAGCACCAGCTATCTGCACAGACAGCCAAGTCACGAATGCCCGTGTCCACTTTCCATGCCAAAACTCCTGCAGCAGGTATGTGCGTTTCTTCAATCTTTAAAGCTAAACCCTGGCTAACAAATCTCAACTCCCACCGACATCTGGCACCCCAAATGCATGGTGGCACCTGGAAGCAATCGCTCTCTGAGCCGTGACATGAACATGAATGTCAGCCCCCCATGTGAAAAGCTGTGAAGCGTGCTGTCCTGCCAAACGCCCGGGCTGGCAAAAAACGCCCAACCCAGCTCGGCTCCCTGTCTCACCTCTTTCGCCATGGGGTTGGGATGGGAGGGTTTAGGGTTTAGGGAAGGGTTTGCTTGGGGCCTCAGACCACTGTTTCTCGACTCGAAACATGCATCTGTCTATGGGCCAGATGCATCACAAGACTATGGTGCTAGCTGATAGCATCGGAGCGAATCGAAGGCCTTACATCTGAAGACTGTCGTGAGGAACAAGTAGCAAAAAAGAGCAAAAGACAACACAAAGGATCCATCTCCACGCTGACTCCATAAGGCAAACAAAGCTTAACAAACAAGCGATCCAAAGCAACCACTGCAGAGGAGCCCACCCTTACTCTACCACCAGCAAAGCGTACGCCCGATGAGAAGAGTGGCAAAGGCATGCTTTAGGGTTTAGGGTTTAGGGTTTAGGGCTTAGGGTTTAGGGTACATGAATCGCCCAGGCCTTCTGCAAGAGGTCTTCATCCTTGTCCCATCGTTGGCAGATGGACCAGCGCTTGGATGGGCGCTGCCAATACATGAAGACGTCCCGCGATTCGTCCCAGAAGGTTCGCGCGTCGTTGACGCGGGTGACCTGCGAACTGAACCAATGCCATCAGCACGCCCAAACTCACACCAGTCATGTAAGAGCTTTGGCAAGCAGGCAAGGAGGGCTTCATGATGCCATGCCATGAAAGAAAGCGCACCATTTGTCCAAGCAGATGCATTGACCTTTTGTAGACTGAAGTGAGCTGCTGAGGACCGAGATAAGAGGCACCGTCATGTCCAGCCTCAGCCCCCTGCAACCCAGTACAAAACTGTCGCCTTTGGCGACAACGGGCAGCATAAAATAAATGCCCCTCGTCAGCAATCCTGACAAGACGTGTCCAGACTTGAAAATTGCGGCTGCAACCTTACCTTGCAGCGCGCATGGTCTGGACTAAACTGCTTTGGTACTGCATGATGCTATGTTCCACGGAACCTGCCGGGACCCAAGTCTTGAAGGTGGCTGCCAGGTCGGATCTCGCCTTGGCCTCGGGCGAAAGCTGAAGCGACTTCCGAATGCCTTGGCCAGGCTCAGACTGGACAGACTTCCGACTGACTTGGCCCGGCGCTGGCTCTTTAAGACTACTCCGCCTGGTCTGAGGGAGCCTTTGGGTAGCCTTTCGGAGCACAGAGGCCGCCTGTTTCCATTGCAGGGGCAGCATCTCACCGTTGACATGCGTCAGCACCCATCCTTCCTGGACCACAGAGTTGCTGCCTGCCGCAATGTCCGTGACAGTGTAGGGATGGGTGTGCCCAATGCGGAAACACAAGGGCTTCGACGTGACCTTCAGCTCTTCAGACTCTCCGTTCCGCCTAGTGAAAGTGAACAATACCACCGGCTGGTCCAGGTCCACGCTCATAACCAGGTCTGATTGGGTGCTTCCGGTCTCGATGTCGTCAACTTCCGCGACTTCCGTGTCATGTTTCTTCTCATCAACGAAATCCAGGGACGCGGCAATCTGGAGGACTTCGTGTGTGAGATCTGCAGGTGCTTCGCAACAGCCACAAGCAATCCAAGGAGCGAGCATTTTCCCAAATGGCGGCGATAAAGATAACTGTGGCCACGTCAAATCACGTGAGCACGCCAAGCCACTGCGAAATCGGCAGCTGAGGAAAGAAAACTCTATAGTTACAAAGTACAGCTAGCCTGCCGCGTCCTGAGCCAAAAACATTGCGAGGGGCCGAGGAGGTGTAGTCTCCCCCTGGGTTTTAGCCTTGCGTGTACAGGCGGCCTCTTCTGGGGCTTTGGAGAGACCTCAGATGTGAGGCTGCCTCACAAGCTGGAAGTCCATCAGGGTAAATGCCATGTAACACCTCTAGACTAAGTGTCTGAAAGCAGCGGACACTTTCGCTGGGTCCAGGATGCTAGATGTTTAGCAATACATGACATGTGTGACAATACATCGCGGCCCGAATCGCCATGTGATGTACCCGATCTGAAACACGCAGGACCACCTGCGGCTGGCCACATGCTAGCTACTTCTGGGATGTTCCCCCTTATACTCACAGTCCTTAACAGGGATTAGAGTTGGTGGGTACTCTAATCACGATTAGGGACTGCTAATACAAGGGGGAACATCCCAAGTCTAATGTACTCCAGTGTGTACTCAAGGCTTGGAGCGTGCACGATTTCTACTCCTGCACAGCACCATCAGGGTGTCGACGTCTGCTGCCCAGGGGTAAGGGCAACGTAGCGTATGGCTTCCAGCCTCTGTAATAGCCCTATATAAAACTGCCGCCTTTGGCGGCACCGGAAAGCGTGATTGCCTAGTCAGCAGGACCCGACAAGGCTTGTCCGGCTATTCTTTTTTGAACCCGTGCTGAGGCCAAGGCGTGTGACGGGAAAGTGTTTGCACTGACGCTCTCCGAGCGGCCGTGTGCAAGCTACGAAAGCCAGGATAATCTAGACTCCAAAATCTCTAATTAATTTGACCTGCTGCTGCTGCAACGTTACTATGCAGCGCGCATGGTTTGGAGCAAACTACTTTGGTAGTGCATGATGCTATGTTCCACGGAACCTGCTGGCGGCACCCAAGCCATGAAGATTGCTGCCTGGTTGGATGTCTTAGCTGAGGGCAAAGACCGACCAAACTTCTGACTGACTTTGCTGGGCGCTGGCTCTTTCAGATCACTCCGACTTGTCTGAGGGAGCCCTTGGATTGCCGACCGGAGCAGAAGTGACGCCTGGTGCCAGTTAACGGACATTTTCTCGCCATTGACATGCGTCAGCACCCATCCTGTCTGCAATGTAGAGCTACCGAAGCCTTCCGCAATGTCCGTGACAGAGTAGGGATGGGAGCGCGCAATACGGAAAAATAAGGGTCTCGACGTGAACTTCAGAACTTCAGATTCTCCGTTCCGCCGGGCGAAAGTTAAAAGCACCACCGGCTGGTCCAGGTCCACGCTCATCACCACGTTTTTTTCGGAGTTTCCTGACTGGATCTCGCCGGCCGTCGCAGACGCCCTTGTTTGGCTCGGGTCCTCGTCGGTGAACGCCGGGGACGCAACAAGGACTTCGTGCGTGAGATCTGCAGATGCTTCGCACAAACCCCAAGCAACAGAAGTTGGATCCGGCATTCGTTCAAAGTTGCGATCTCTGAATCAATTGTCGTGTGGAGCTAGCCTGCCGCGTCCTGGGCCAAAAGTATTCCGAGGTGCAGTCTCCCAGTGGATGTTACTTGCGTGTACAGGTGGCCTCTTCTGGGGCTTTGGAGGGGTTGTTAGATATCTCAGACCTCAGATGTGAGGCTGCCTCACAAGCTGGAAGTCCATCAGGGTAGATGCCATGTAACACCTCTAGACTAGTGGACACTTTCGCCGGATGCGTTTAGAAGTTTAGCAATACATGACATGTGTGACATTACATCGCGGCCCGAATCGCCATGTGATGTACCGGATCTGAAACACGGAGGACCATCTGCGGCTGGCCACATGCTAGCTAGCTGTTTCAACACATAGGCGCGCAACCGAAGCGAATGAACATCTACAGTCTAATCTACTCCAGTGGCGCACGAATTCGACTCCTGCACAGCACCATCAAGAGATCGGCGTTTGCTGCCCAGGTGAGGGCAACGTAGCGTATGGCTTCCAGCCTCTGAAGCCCTATATAAAACTGTCGCCTTTGGCGGCACCGGACGTGATTGCCTAATCAGCAAGACCCGACGAGGCTTGTCCGGATGTTCTAGACTCTAAAATCTCTAATTAAGTTGACCTGCTGCTGCTGCAATGTTACTATGCAGCGCGCATGGTTTGGAGTAAACTACTTTGGTAGCGCATGATGCTATGTTCCACGGAACCTGCTGGCACCCAAGCCATGAAGATTGCTGCCTGGTTGGATCTCTTAGTTGAGGAGGCAGACCGACCAGACTTCTGGTTGACTTTGCTGGGCGCTGGCTCTTTCAGATCACTCCGACTTGTCTGCGGGAGCCCTTGGATTGCCGTCCGGAGCAGAAGCGACGCCTGGTGCCAGTGAACGGACATTTTCTCGCCATTGACATGCGTCAGCACCCATCCTGCCTGCAATGTAGAATTACCGAGGCCTTCCGCAATGTCCGTGACGGTGTAGGGATGGGAGCGCGCAATACGGAAAAATAAGGGTCTCGACCTGAACTTCAGAACTTCAGATTCTCCGTTCCGCCGGGCGAAAGTTAACAGCACCACCGGCTGGTCCAGGTCCACGCTCATCACCACGTTTTTTTCGGAGTTTCCTGACTGGATCTCGCCGGCCGTCGCAGACGCCCTTGTTTGGCTCGGGTCCTCGTCGGTGAATGCCGGGGACGCAACAAGGACTTCGTGCGTGAGATCTGCAGATGCTTCGCACAAACCCCAAGCAACAGAAGTTGGATCCGGCATTCGTTCAAAGTTGCGATCGATGAAATCAACTGTCGCTTCGCGAGCGGCGCAACAAAATTGTCATGCAAATGTGGAGCTAGCCTGCCGCGTTCTGGGCCAAAAATGTTCTGCCAAGGAAGCTGACCACCACGCAAGGACAGCTCTTGACCAGCATCAACGACCCCAAACCCTAAAGATATAAACCCTGTCACCATCCGCCCCGGACCCGAATCACTACATGTAATGTACTGGAACTGAAACCACGGGACCACACTGGATGTGAACATGCCTTGTCCGCGATGAAGTTACGGTTCAGAAGGGCTCTTCGAAAACCGGCCATCCTGAAACAAGATGGGGGGGGGGGGGGGGTTCCGAAATTAGGGGTGCCTTATTGGGGTCCTTATGAGAAGGGAATCCTACTATTTGAGGTCTAAACTCGGGGTCCCTTATTTTCGCCAAACCCCAGAATCTTGGTTTCAGCTCCAATTGGCGAGAAAAAAAACCCGCACACAATCCTAAGCATCAATCACAATGACCGGCCAAGGTAAAAAGAGAACGATGTGATGAGCTCAAGCTCAGCTAGAAGCTGCTCCCGCAAACTCTCGCGCAACAGGCACATGCATGCTAGCCCACCGTATGCTTGGAGCTGCGAGCTGTGCTCCCACAACCGCCTCTGCCTTGCCACACTTCTGGGACATGAACTAGTGAGCCCTGCCACATTTCTGAGTTACCACCCCAACTCCCGGCACCTGTTTTGTGCTCTTCTTGGCTTGAAGGTGTGGCCCTGGCGTCCCGAACCCTTTTGAATTCAGCTGAGGGTTTACTTAGGTTTCAGGGTTTAGAGCTGAGCTGGCCAGGTAGCTCCAACGACAAGAGGTCCAAGCTGTCGGCGCCATCCCAGGGTTCGAAGCCTTCGTCGCGTGTGTCCAAGGACATGAGACCCGGCACAACACGCGCCCTATGCGACATACATGTATAGATACATACATACATACCTACATACGTACATACATACATATGCATACACATATACGTATACATATGCATATGCATATGTATATGTACACGCATATGCATTTGTGTATATATATATATACATATATATATATATATATATATCATGAATACACATACGTAAACATATATATATATATATGTGGTCACCCCCCCCCATGATCCATATGTATTTTCTTTGTGCTTGTCCTTCTGCACCTGTGCTTACTTACACATATCGTTGAAGTGAAAAACACCGGTATTTACGATACTTTTGGTGTCTTGCCATGTCTGAAGCTACTTGCTATTCATTATCTATACTTTCAAACAACAGAAATCTACAAACATAATCCGTTTCTGGACTTGGTTTTGCGTGGTTTGCTAATCTCTGTTATTCACTCTATAAATAATAGCTTTCAATATACACCTTCTTGAACTTCAACAATATTCATTGAACAGATAAAAATAATTTGTAAACCATTTTATAATGCATAAATATAAAAGAAGAAATGAGGGGGCTTTATATAAAGCACCTAACACAAGAAGCAGACTGCATAGTGAAGTTAGAGACGAATTAGCAGAGACAGAGACATTCTTAACGGATATGCAAGGACTTAAACTAGCGTATGAGAATCCTGACGGGATATATCAAAATGGTTCTATTTTATACATTGCTGGGACTAAAAGCGGTAGAGATGTTTATGATGATTTACAACTTCCTTTATATAAGACGCAACAGGCTCAGCGATATAAAGGTGCAGATAAGTTCAGTAAGTCAGTTTAGGTTCAGCATCGGGACAACAAATAACCAATGATTATGGTCATGTGTTCAGAAGTCGTAGTTATGGTTCTCCTTTTGTATCAGGGCAACGACCAGATCACACTGGGACAAATTCAAGAATACGAGAAGCAGGAGACCCCGTTAGTATGTTTGATCAAGGAAGTATAACATCAAAGAAAATCCACATGAGACCCTCTAAAAAATCATTCTTATGAAGATATAGGCAATGTTAAAAACAAAGGAAATCTACCCATAACCGAACAAGAGCTTCTAACAACAGTTTGATGCAATAAACGAAAAAATGTTCAGAATGTTTCATAAGAAAGCAACAACACACGAACAAATAGAGAACCGAAGAAAGAGAAGCAATTAAAACACAATGCTTGCGAAGAGATAAGAAAGTTAGTTGAGAACCATGAAGTAGATGAAGCGGTTAAGGAGGTGAAAGGTAAGAAGAAGAACAATAGTAACGACAATTTATACAGTTTGAAACTATTGATTAAATATAAGTTGAAGGTATGTGTGAAGGTATGTGTCTGTAACTAAATTATCTATGCTATATATATATATATCATGGAAACCTTTAGTCCGAAGATATCCTCATTGATAATTTAAGTTCTAAATTACACAAAGCTTCTCACAATTTAGATATTGGCCGTTAACATATATAGGAAACTTAACAATTGAACTAGAATCAGTAACTACTGCTACTAATTGTATTAATTGCCGCAGTCAGAATTTCAAGAGATTTAGGGGAAACTCGAGCCGGCTCGGATTTTCCGAAAATTCTCGAGGCACCAGGTCTCGAGCAGGCTCGAATTTTCCAAAAAAGCCTACATGCTGTCATCTATGAGGCCTTGGGGTCACACAGCCATGGTTTCAGCATGTTGTTTAAAAAATTCGAGCCGGCTCGAATTTTCCGGAAATTCTTGAAGCTCCAGGTCTCGAAAACTCGAGCCGGCTCGAATTCGCAAAAAAAATGCTGAAACCATGGCTGCGTGACCCCAAGGCCTCATAGATGACATAATTTAGGTGTTTTTTTGGAAAATTCGAGCCTGCTCGAGTTTTCGAGACCTTGAAGCACCAGGTTGCGATAACTCGAGCAGGCTCGAATTTTCCAAAAAAACCTAACTTTCAGGATCTACCGGGCTGCTGGAGCCATAGATCCTGAAATTTAGGTTTTTTTAGAAAATTCGAGCCGGCTCGAGTTTTCAAAAAAAACGATTTTTTGTATGTTTTCTTGACCTGCCTGACTTGAAATGATATAGGCATTTATCGGCCCTGTCGTTTCTTATCGCTAGCTCATAGCCCCCTCTCCTCCCAAGATCCATCTGTTTCCAAGCAGAAACGCGGATCATGGGGGGGGGGGGGGGGTGTGAGCATATATATATATATATACATACATGCAAATATATATATATATATATATTTTTTCATATGTATGTATAGGCACACTCTCCCCAGCAGCCAAGCACCTCAAACTTTCTGGCCCGCCTTTCAGACCCCAAGCAGCCTAAACATCCGAAGCCAATGCCAAGGCCTACAGTACCCTGCGCAGCCTGGAGGTCCCATCTCCTGAGGAGAGGTTGGTGACGGTTCCTGGGACCACAGTAAACTCAAGCTTCCCGTGTGTCAGGTGACTCAGATGGCCGCCAATGGCTCCAAAGAGTGTGCTTCGGCTACTGTGCTTGCTGTCAGAGTCAACGCCGCATTGCGCACCCAACTCCAAACGTCAAACCCGGGACAACTGGCAAACAGGCCTCGACAGGCGCTTCGCGCGAAACCTGGCAGATCAAGCAGCTTGCACGACTGCATGGCCACACGCTTTGCAACTGGGGAGAAGAACTTTGCGTACCAAAGGATTGAAGGCGAAATGGTGATGAGCCTGTGCCAGCTCTGGCTGGCGTAAACCCAATTGTCTGCCTTCGCCTTCTCCTCCAGAATGGAGACCTCCTCTGCCGCACCGGCAGGACGCCCGCGAAGCTTCCTTTGGTAAAAGTTGCGGCAGGTTCTTCGCGATTTATTCAAGCCCTCAAGCCCTTTGGATGCCGAGATGCAGGGAATCCATGGTGCACACGCCCTTGGTGGCTATGCCTCGGCACACAGTCCTCCCTTCAAAAAATGCAGGGACTCATCATTCAAGGCACCGCAAAGTTGACTTAACGCGCGGTTCTTGTAAGGGGGGGGCCACGGGTCACGCGTTGCATATACGATCCGTGTTGCGTCACCCAGCAATACTGCACTGAGCTCCGCTAGATTCACAAAATGCCGCCTCAGTCACTCAGGAGGTCATCCATGACATTCGGAACGTTAACTTCCTTCTCGCTCCAGACTCATTGCGGTTACACGTTACACGCTTTCAGGAAATCTCTCTGACTCTGTTTCTCCATCTCCAACCAAGACGGTCCAGGCACTGGCTCTCGATGGGGCTCACTATGGTGCTTCAGTACCCTAAACCCTAAACCCTAAACCCTAAACCCTAAACCCTGATGAAGCCTGCCTCGTCAGACTTGTCGACGAGCTCTGCACGTTGCTTAGACGATGCTACGTGAAGCAGCTCGTCCAGAGCCCTGCAGCGTCTCAACACCTCGGGCTGCAAACATGAAGCTTACGAGGATGCCCGTATGGCGATTTAGGGTTTAGGGTTTAGGGTTTAGGGTTTAGGGTTTAGGGTTTAGGGTACCTGAGACTCTGGTTCTCATTCTGAGCAAAGAGTGCCTTACAGGAGTTATAAGAGCAAGAAACAGCGTGGCCTGAAATTGCGACACCGCACGCTGCACCGTGCAATCGACGTGCACGGCTTGGACAGGTGACCGGAGCATGGTTCCATTTCAAGCAGGACACGACACACTGAGGACCTACCACTTGGCACCCTTCAACGCCCCGAATAACCCCTGGTTCTTAGTAGGGAATGAGGGAATTAGGGCCAGGGCCCCATTTAAACCTTTGGTTTGTATAGGTACCTCATTCCTTCACTCCCTACTAAGAATCAGCCCGTAACATAGAAAGCCCTCTACACATGATGCCGATGCCGGCTAACCACGTCCGTGTCACTCAAGGCATGTCTATACTCCCCTTAGAACCTTAATGAACACAATATTTCCAATATCCTCTTGGGCTTTATATAAACAGAAAATGAAAAATAATTCCTAAGGGGATATAGATGTCGCTACAGGAGCATGCCAAGGCACCAGCTGGTCCAGACGCCACTGACGATGTCTCTCGCGGTCTTCAAAGGTTTGGAGGTCTTTGAGATTCGCACGAGCTTGGATTCTGTCAGTCTGCTCATCTGAAGCACGTCTTCGGATCACTCGTCTTAGCTCACCAGCGAGAAGCTGAGCAAACGGCTGCAGCTGATCCACCTCCAGCCGCCGTAGAACAAAGGCCCAAGCCTCCAACTGAAAATCCCGCGCTTCCAGGGCTTGCTGCAGTCGTTCTCGAAGTTGCCGTACCTTCTTTGTGAGGATGGAGGGAGTACCCAGTAGGACTTCCATACAGCGTGCGCCAACGTAGTATTCCTCAGCACGCATTTTGCGTGGACGCTTGAACTCTGGTGGGTCGGCTTTCGTGCGTCGGGCATAGCACCGTACACGAAAGAGAGTGTGGCGTACCGTCTGGCACGGATGGCCGCACACTGCACATCGTACCGAGCTTTGCTGCTCTGCCGCGACTGGGCCGGCCATCTTCGGGTCATGCGAGAAGACGCCCACCTCTTGCTGAACTGTCCAGACGAACTTCATGCGATTTTGGGCGGATATCGGCTCCTTGTCAGCAACGAAGCTAGCAGACCTCTTCTTTTCGTCGCACACAGCGGGATCCGGCTGGCCCTCGATGTAGTCTGGCACCGCCTCCCTGACCAGCTCTGGCGAATTGCTGCTGGTCTTGGTTTCGCTGCTCTTCCTCTTTGGGCCTCTGGGCGGAGCTATGGCCTCAACAGCCTTTGCTTGCTTCCTTTGCCTCCGTTCGGGAGCCGGTGGCATCTCTTTGCCCGGTTTCCCGGCGCCCAGCTCGACCAGGGAGAAGAGGCTGTCATCCTCCTTGGGCATGCACTCATTGCGCTTTTTCTCTGCAGAGAGGGCAGGTTCAGTCTTGGCACGCTTGGCCAAAGGTGGATCCAGGCTTGACCTCGAATCTGGCTCCAAGTTGTCAGGTTGCTCCGCTTGATCTGCCACCGGGCTTGCGGTGCTTGCAGCTGATCCCCTGGATGGTGCACCAGAGCAATCAGACAGCTCTCGCGCCTCCCGGGGTCCAGAAACTGCAGGTTTTTCAGGGCCACGGGCTGCCAACGAAGCATCCTCGGGTGATGGCTTCTCAGTTGCGTCCTTGCCATCTTGCGTGGGCTTCGCTTTCTTCGCCCTCTTGTACTTCACATAGCCTTTTGCGAGGTCAAATGAGAAGTCCCTGCTTGCGACTCTGCTGCCAAATTCTTCGGCAAGTTTGTAAAAGTCGGAAACGGTCCTCGCAGCCTTGTACTTCTCATACCGGGCATACGCCGCAGTGTCCTTCTTTTTCGGATTCTCTTCCTGGAAGCGAATCTCCCCGTCACTCAAGAGCTCTGGCATGTAAATGGCCGTTGTTGCGGCGGCATGGCGCGAGCATAACAAGCATCTGGAGCAAGCATTTTACGCCACATGCGCCCGAAAGGTTTCCTGAGTAGCCCCTAAACCCTAAACCCTAAACCCCAAAGCCCAAAGCCTCAACCCTAAACCCTAAACCCTAAACCAAACCGCGTAGCAGGCCAGCCCCCTGCTTTGGAAGGCGACGTATGCAACGGCTAGGCTTCTTTGTAGAAAGCTGTGCGGAATTCATTCGCAACCGGCACTCATGTAACATCTGAGCTGCAGCCCGCACCACAGCAAGATCCAGATGCAATCAGCATGCTCTGATTCAAGAGAGAGAGAGAGAGAGCCGGACCTAAACATTTACGACACCTGGCGTGACGGCAGGACACAGAAGGAAGAGAGGCAGCATGAGCCACTCCTTGATTTGTCTGGCGAGGAAAAGCGGAATCGACTTGCTAAGCTATTCTGTACGTCTTTGCCAGTGCAGCGCATCACCTGCTTGCATCGCTGCATCGGGCCGCGCAACGACTGGTATAGCCGAAATGATATAGCACGGTGCGCCGATCATTTATCGGACTACCGCCTCCTGTGAATGTATAGATGGACTAAGAACCTGACTCCTTGCGTGAAACCAAGGGCTTGCCAGGATCAAAAACCGTAGAAGCTAGTCATGCGTTTAAGCACATTTTCTCATCGAACTGCAGCGTGGGTTCTTGTGCCGGGATTCCCCATCTTTGCTGAATGTTACGTCGGCAATTTGGATATATATATATATGCATATACATATACATATACATATACATATACATATGCATATATATATATAGCTGCATCGGCAGTGCTGATCGGTTTGGTGTGTCTTGATTCGGGCAGATTGAAAGAGGCTGGGAGTGCGGCACAGTTCTGCAACATCCACTTCACTACGAACAGCTTTGCAAATTGCTTGGACCGACTCGGTACCTGGCATGAGTGGTGCTAGCAATCGAAATTCCGAAAAGTCCTGAATAGGGGTTAACACGTCGGGAACAAGCCAGCGATTAAAAGACACGCAAGCCGCTCTAAGACTCATCTCGATGTGGAGTGGGGGCTGCTAGCTAGACGTAGGCATGAAGTAGTGGACAACTAAGACGTAATATCGCCCTAGACCCTCAACCCTAAACCCTAAACCCTAGACCCTAATCCAGGAAAGCAGTTCAACTCTGCCTTGCTGTCCTGATGTTGTCAGATGTAGCGTGCTTTCTGATGGTTGTGCGTTCTCATCAGGTTCTAGAGGCCATTTAAAATGCGACCGGCTGGAACTTCGGATCCGGCGTCCAGCAATTGCACTCAGCTGGGGCTCTCCTCCACGGAGCTCACCTCGTGGAGGGGTATAAGGAGGGACCCCTAAATCTTATTCCCCTATATAACCTCTGTATTACCTTAAAAAGTCCCCTAAGTCCTAAGTAGTGCCTTACTACCCCCTACTATATATTTGATCCATTTTGGGGGGGGGGGGGGGGGGGGGTCCCTTTAAGGGGATTCTATTCTATTTGGGGTATGAAAGGGGCGCCCCTACTTTGTCAAATACGCATATGCCATTTTCTGCATGAGCTCTCGAGCTCCTTCCATTCTTTACATTGATCTTCTTGCGACTGTAATGTTAGCAACCTCCACCCGAGGAATGTTACTGTCAATGGCACATCAGGTGTCATGTTCTTAATGTAACGCACGCTTCTCAAGGACAATGCCTTCCCGAACCACACACGCTCGCACGCGCACACACACACACACACACACACACACACTCTTTCACACACACACACACACAATCATTCTCGCCTCAGAAGACCCCACAACCAAACAAACGAAAACACGAACAAACTGGAGACTGGTGCCCGGAAATGTTGCTGCTTCTGGCTGTTGTTTATTTGGTCTGCGTTACTAACTTTGTCGTTTGCTTGTTTCGTTGCTTGCTTGGTTGCTTGCTTGTTGGTATGTTTGTGTTTGTGTGTTTGTGTGTGTGTGTGCGCGTGTGCGTGTGCGTGTGCGTGTGCGTGTGCGTGTGCGTGTGCGTGTGCGTGTGCGTGTGCGTGTGCGTGTGCGTGTGCGTGTGGGTGTGGGTGTGGGTGTGGGTGTGGGTGTGGGTGTGGGTGTGGGTGTGTGTGTGTGTGTGTGTGTGTGTGTGTGTGTGTGTGTTTGACTGTGTGTGTGTGTGTGTGTGTGTCTGTGTGTGTGTGTGTGCGCGCGCGTCTGCGTCTGCGCCTGCGTCTGCGTCTGCGTTTGCGTCTGCGCTTGCGTCTGTGTCAGTGTCAGTGTCTTTTTCTGCATCTGTGTCTGTGCTTGTGTGTCTGTGTGTGTGTGTGTGTGTGTCTGTGTGTTTGTTTATTTGTTTGGTTGGTTGTTTGTTTGCTTGTTTGTTTTTGTTTGTTTGTTTACTTGCTTGTGTGTGTGTGTGTTTGTTTGCTTTTGTTTGTTTGATTTGTTTGCGAGTGTGTATGTGTGTGTGTGTGTGTGTTTGTCCGTGTTTGTCCGTGTGTGGGTGTGTCTGTCTGTCTGTCTGTCTGTCTGTCTGTCTGTCTGTCTGTCTGTCTGTCTGTCTGTCTGTCTCTGTTGCGTGTCGGTTTGTTTGCGTTGGTCCGCGTTGGTCCGCGTTGGTTTGCGTTGGTTTGTGTTGGTTTGTGTTGGTTTGTGTTTGTGTGTGTGTGTGTGCTTGTTTGTTTGCTTGATGTGGTTGTTTCTGTTTGTGTTTGTGTTTGTGTTTTTGATTGCTTTTGTTTGTTTGTGCTGGTTTGTGCTTGTTTGTTATTGTTTGTTATTGTTTGTGTTTGTTTGTGTTTGCTTGTGCTTGTTTGTGTTTGTTTGTGTTTGTTTGTGTTTGTTTGTGTTTGTTGGTGTCTATTTGTGTTGGTTTGTGCCTGTTTCTGCTTGTTTCTGCCTGTCTGTGTCTGTTTGGTTTGTTTGTGCTTGTTTGTGCTTGTTTGTGTTTGTTTGTGCTTGTTTCTGCTTGTTTGTGTTTGTTCGTGGCTGTTTGTGTCTGTTTGTGTCTCTGTGTGTGTGCGTGTGTGTGTGTGTGTGTGTGTGTCTGTTAGTGTTTGTTAGAGTTTGTTTGTTTGCTTTTGTGTGTGTGTGTGTGTGTGGTTGCTCGTGGTTGTTTGCGCTTGTTTGTCTTTGCGTGTGTTTGTTTTCGTTTTTGTGCTTGTTTGTAGATGTTTGTGTTTGTCCTTTTTTTTTTTTTTTGTGTGTGTGTGTGTGTGTGCGTTCGCTTGCGTTTGGTTGTGCTTGTTTGTGTTCGTTCGTGTTTGTTTATGTGTCTTTTACGTTTGTTTGTGTATGTGTTGTGTTTGTTTGTTTGTTTTTGTTTGTTTGTTTTTGTCTTGTTTTCTTTGTTTGTTGGTTTTTGTTTGTCGGTTTTTGTTTGTTTGTTTCTGTTTTTTTGTTCTGTTTGTTTGTTTTTGTTTGTTTGTTTTTGTTTGTTCTGTTTGATTGTTTTTGTTCGTTTGTATTTGTTTGTGTGTTTTTTGTTTGTATTTCTTTGTTTGTTGTTTGTTTGTTTGGGTTGTTTTTGTTTGCTTGTTTTTGTTTGTTTGTTTTTGTTTGCTTGCTTTTGCTTGTTTCTGTCTGTTTGGTGTTGTTTGTTTGTTTTTGTGTGTTTTTGTTAGTTTTTTGTTTGTTGTTGTTTGTTTTTGTCTGTTTGTTTGTTTTTGTTTGTTTGTTTCTGTTTGTTTGTTTCTGTCTGTTTGTTTTTGTTTGTTTGTTCTTGTTTGCTTGTTTTTGCTTGCTTGCTTGTTTGTTTGTTTGTTTGTTTGTGTTTGTTTGTGTTTGTTTGTGTTTGTTTGTGTTTGTTTGTTTGTGTTTGTGTGTTTGTGTTTGTTTGTTTGTGTTTGTTTGTGTTTGTTTGTGTTTGTTTGTGTTTGTTTGTGTTTGTTTGTTTTGTTTGTTTTGTTTGTTTTGTTTGTTTTGTTTGTTTGTTTGTGTTTGATTTTTTTTTTTTGCTTGCTTGCTTGCTTGCTTGCTTGCTTGTTTGTTTGTGTTTGGCGGTTGCGGTTGCGGTTGCGGTAGCAGTGGCCCTGTCCCTGTAGGAAGAAGTACAACAACCAGAACACACGCGGAAACCAACGCGAGACGCACAAATGTTCAGAACACCTCGCATCCCGCAAAGCGCTCTCCAAAAGCAAACCAAGACACATGTCCTCTGGATTGTCCTGCATGTAGTGACACAACCAAGGTAGGCGTTTCTTTCGCCACCGTGAAAGGGTTGCATTATTTAGAAAAAAATCGCGGGGCTTTGGCAACACACATGTCCGGGAAAAGTTCGTGATTTGCGCTTTGTGTTTTGCGCCCCCAGCAGCGTCGTTTGTCGTTCAGTTGGCCCACAAGGCCTGGTCGTGCGGAAAGTGCAGTAAACACCGAGAGTTTCCCTTTAAAAGCCCCGAAAACGCTGTAAATACCGAGGAGTCCGCAGTGGCACACCCCGCCCTGGAAGAGAAACGGCGAAAAATTGCAAAAAAAATCGTTTACGGCGTGCGAAGAAAAAACCATCCAAAAGTGCCGAAAGCATTGTAAATACCGAGGTTTCGGGAAACACCCACGAGGTTTCAGACTGCACGCAACACAAGGGACGTAACCACACCCCCCCTACCCCTCCCCCCCAGCAAGAATGCAGAACTCGACAACCCTTCACAGCTGCGAAAGAAGCGTCTACCAAAAACAACCGACTCAAGCGAAATAGGATTACAACCATAGCCTACGACAAACAAGTGCAACGACAAAGGACCATCACAAGACAAACAGAATCTGAGGGTCCTCCAAAACGTGGTCGCAAAGATTCTCCCCAGACATTGTTGAACATAGGTTGCTTAAGCGAAGGCTCTCGTGAGAGCATGTCCATTCGCAGGTCTGTTGTTAACAGTACGAACAGGGTAAGCTATACCTTCACCTGCGATGTGAACGCGACACTTGCGAAACGAGTGCCCCGCCCCTAAACCCCATGAACCGCCCAGTTTATTGCAGTTAGGAGGGTAGCCATAAACTACAAACTCTTATTAAGAAACCCAATAAACCACAAAAAGCTAAGGATCTAAAGTTATACAGTAAAACACCACAAAGTTAAACCCCATGAGCCGCCCTAAACCCCCTTGAACAAACCCTACACCCTACACCCCACAGAACCCCAAAGTAAACCCAAAAACAACCTCTGAATCCTGCAACCTAAACCTTAGGGTTTAGGGTTTCGGGTTAGTCACAATCGTCCACATCTGCGAAGCCAGGCCGCGGGATTGGGAGGATGCTTAGGTGATGACGGTCGGCTCGGTGCGGCCAGTGAGCCTTAGCTTGGGGGATAGGATTAGGGGGACCCTTGGGGATACAGACCCTCTGAATAAGGTCCCTGTTTAAGAGAGCCAGAAGAGGGTTAAGAAGGGTTCAAGGGTCCCCCCTCATCCACCTAGGATTGCTGAGTCAAGCTCCGACTACCACCCTCAAGGCAAGCCTCATTCAAAGGGTCACTTCTCTAAATTGTGGTCCCTTTTGGGCTTGTATTTCTTGTACCCCCAAAGGACACCCGCACCAATATTAAAAAGGAACCTTATATACCCTCACCAATAACAGTAATATAAACCCCGCTTCATATACTATTCTAAGGCGGCTCCTAGTATGTAGGGTACCCCTAACCATATGAATATTCATAACAATATCAGTATGCCTCGGCTCGTAGGAGTTTGATCCTCTCCCACGCCCATCCACGCCCTACGGACACCCCAACATTCCTGAATTCCTCTCTTCGCGCTCCTCACCCCCACCCCCCAACCCCCACTTAGCCCCGCCTCATCCCGCCTCCCCCCCCCCCTCCGAGAGTTTGAGGCTAGCAACGCACGGAAACCATATTAGAAAGGTTCTTGTGCACCATGATTTTCCGTTAATTTTCCACCGCAGCCCCGGCCCCACTAAACTTCCACCTCGACCCTATGGCATGGGCACCACTACCTCGCAAGCAACTTGCGAACTCGCGCTCTGGTGTCCGGGCTTTCCTCGCCAAGCACATGCCAGTGCTTTGATGGCTTTCTCAACACGTGAAGCTTGCGATGTTTCCTCGTGGGCTGCGTGGTTGTTGCACCCCCTCCAACCCTCAAATCCCTCCGTGGACCCCACCAGCGGCCGAGGCGGGTCCTGGGTACCAGTATCAACTCCGCAAGGCCGCCTCTGGATGCCATACTCAAGCAACTCTGTGCATAGCTTGAATCCCCCTGGCCCGAAATGATTCTAAGACGCTCAAAAACCCCCCAAGAAAATCTCTTCAGAAACAACCAAGCCCTAAACCCGAATACTCCACCACTCCGGCCCCCCCCCACACACACCTAAAAACCCTCAACCCAACAGGGACCCGGTGAGGTCGGACATCTCCAGGGCGATCGCAGCCAAGGGCTTCACCACCTGGTTTGAGCAGAACAGATCGATGTACCAGGGCCTTAGGGTATGTAGATAAGAAAACGATCGTTTGACAGGGTGACACTTAGCTTCGCCAAGTGTGACCCAAGAGGAACTCACAGATTCCCATCCAGGTCCCAATTCCTAGTCTGATGAATATGTCTGGCTTGTCTCTGGAGCGCGCGATCCTAAGCGCAAGGCACGTGAACGTGAATTTCTGATGTCAGGCCTCAAACTGCGACAACGCCAGATTTCCTGACGGCTTCTCGTACCTTCAGAAAGTCAGGAGAAGGCATGGGGAAGGGATGAGAAACGGAGGCGCTAAAATGCTTGTCGACCTATTTCCCTCAGCCCTTAGCCGAGAGCAACAATCACACAAAGCCGGAGGAGACAGCACGCAACAGTGCATCTCACTTCGAACTAACTGAAAAAAGGCACCAGCACAATCTGAACCAAGCGACTTCTCCAAATACAGACGGATCGTCGCACCGGCAGATCCAGTCCCGCTGAGGCGAAAGACGATGCGAGAGCCATCAGTGAAGATGATCCTTACGCACGAGGCGTGCAGAAATAGGCTATAGCCCACTTGAAGCTAGTTGAAAAGAAGGCCGGCGTGCCGAGTTTGGGGTCGGTCCCTCACAAGAAGGCTACTGCACCCTAGATCCTTTCTTATACATGGCACATGTGTGGATGCACTGAAATGTTCCAGCAATGCTGGACGCCGGTGATTTGTTGACATGGCTTCGGCAAACGTGCGTTTCGCGACTTCTCTCCCGCAAGGCAGAACATTCAAATCATCAAGGTGAAGCCAGAGTCACGCTCAGGAACAAAAGTATGCGGCAACATTAAGGGCCCTGCTCTAGGACTCTATGTGATGCAAAGGGCACCCGAGCCGCACCCCAGCCGCCATCTTGCAGCAAGAGTCTTTATGCCCTGGTTCGAAGACACGGACTTGTCCACCGGGTCGTGGTACTCGAAGCTTTCTGCCGACTCAACCTTCATGCCCTTGATTTCTTCGCCTGGCATTGTGCTGGGAATGGCGCTTGTGCGTGCGTGTGCGCACGAAGCGGGCCCACGCACATGTGTGTTCATGTGTAGGCACTACATACGCATGGGCAGGTGCATAGATGCCATGCCATGAATGGCATACATTGCATGGGTCGCATACATAGATACTGTCCAGGCAAGGACATGCATGCGAGCACACACACAATGTGCCTTTCAAAGTGCCGCATTTCTCCTTCAAGTTCGACATCATAGTGTTGGCACCCTCCGAGGCCACGCCCTCGTAGTCATAGCGGCAATAGTAGTTTCGGCCATAGGTCTTCCAATGGTCCATCGTGATGGCCTCCACTGTCACCAGTGGCTTGGACTCGTCCTTGTTCTTGCTGGCGAGAATTTGAAGCCAGGCCAACACAGCCCACATGCCATCCTTCTCGCGGACGTGGTTACCACCAGTGCCAAAGCTTTCCTCGCCACAGATGAAGGGGGTGTAGCACTCGGTGTCGGGGAAATACTTCTCGTCCCCAGAATCCATCAGGTTGCCGAAGAACTTCCATCCCGTAGGAGTCACGAAGCACGGAATCTTCTTCCTGGGGGAAACTATACCACCCTTAGGACCATAGCAAAATCATATTCTTAATATACCCCTTGGGTTTTATAAGATGAAAAACTCATCCTGACGAGGCTAGAAGAAAAAGCCGAGCAAAGCCCTAGCTGACCTGTATTGCAACGCTCTGCGGCCTCTTCGACCCATGCTCAAATTCTTCGAAGGCTTTCATCATCCCTCCCTGAATCTGTGGTGTTTCATTTAATCTTCTTTGGACGTCTTACCTCATCCCTTCTTGGTCCACTCGATCATCGAACTCAAATGTGGTCTGTCCATTTCTCCATCTTCTTGCCCTACTTAAGCCGACACATAAGGTAAAAAGTTCTCATATCCCCACATGAGGCAGCAGCTGTTGAAGCTGGCAGAAACATTCACGACGTTCGTCTCACTTCATGACTCACGTATTTCTACAGCTTGCTTCAGAGCGCACACCCCGGTGCCAACTTGCTGCATCGCGTCTTCTTCGCCACGAGGTCCAGGGCTCCCGAGGTTGGCATCGAGCGAGCGCAGCCATTGAGGCCATCCTGGCAAACTCTTCGGTCACATGTTTGCGGCAATGTAAAGTACTGGCAACAACCGCAGCAAGGATCATATCAAAGGCTGTGGTACTTCCCTGCGGCAGGCAAAGATGACCATTCTTAGGTTCTTGCCATGCTGCCAGGTGCGCTCTGGGTTTGAGGCTTTGAGGTAACATCCAATTCTGCCAGCGTAGACCCCAAACAGGGTAAGACCATCTAGTGAGAGCCTGTGTGGAGACGCCGGAGCATTCCAATGAATCAACAGCACATCCAAAAGAAACCTAGCGCCCAGAAGTCCAAAAGTAACGCCGGTTTCGCTTGTGGTGAACCTAGACCTAGACGTCCAAAAGGTCCAAAAGTGACGACAGCTTGGCTCTTGGTCAACCCAGACGTCCAAAAGCGACAAAATGTACTCAGGCGCCCAAACGCGGCGGCCCTTTCGCATCTCGCAAGTTCATAAGCATGAAAGTGATGACAGTATATGACAGTCTCGCAGTTGGCGAACCCAGACGTTCAAAAGCCACGGCTGTTTCAGTGCTGTTTCGAATTTCGCGAACCCGAAGCAAAAAAACGATGACAGTTTCGAGGACCGCAAGGGCGGCCACGCCCGCTCGATCGCGATTTTCGTGCCAAAAGCGAGCAGGCTTCGAGAAAAATGCATGGTCCAGGCCGCGCGCGCTAGCAATGCAAGCCATCTCCCATGCGTCCTTGAAGAACGGAATGCAGCTGATGTTGGCGGCGATGATGGCGACGCTGTCCGACGGGCTCACGAACCACTGCTTTCCTAAGCATCCAGGCAGGAAAGCTCTGCAACCACGTCGTGTCAGCAAGCATCCTGCAGCACTCTCATGCAAGAAGCCTGTGCACAGGACCTCTGCCGAGGCGAGACTCCGAGGATCATATTCCGATCAGCATCCCCATCCGCTGCTGCACCAAAGTCGGGCACCGAATCGCCACTGCCGATCCTCTCGCCTTCCAGCACCGCGCATGCACGTCTCAGGGCATTGCCTGCTGCCTTTGCAGACCTGTGAGTGATTTGCACGGCGCAGGTGCTGGCACAGGGAAGTGGGGGCTGATGGATTCAAAATGTTCAATCGAACATCAGACATCCCTTTCGCGCCTAGCTTGTTGAGGCCCATCTTGGCCACGAGCTCGACCTTTTTTTCTCACCGACTGCACCCACAACCGACCAGCCTGGCCCCCGACAAAGGCCCGAGACATCCGAGACCTACTGATCCAGCAGAGGCACCGCATAGGTCAAGTTCGGATCCGCGTGGCCATGGGAAGGGGAGTCCTTTCCACCGAAGTCCTCCGAGTCACCGGCACTTCTAGGTGTACATTGGAAGTACTACTCGAGATCCTGTGGGAATGGGAAAAAGTAGAAGACAAGGGTCCTCCTTTGGGATGGCGTTCATCAGCGCCGACCTCGGCAAGCGAGGCGTTGTGTCATTGCCCTGCAAATGGAACGACCACTTCCTGCCGCATCGACGCCGTGACACGCCATCTCACAAACTGTGACAACTGCTGCTTGCTTGTGGTGTGCCCCCAGTTTCCAACTGGAGGAAGAAACAAGCTCTCCAAGCATGATGTTCGTGAAGGGTGCCGTGCGAGAGCGCAAGATGTTGATGTTGTCTGTGACACTGAGCCGACACACTAAGAGGCCAGACATCGTGCTGATACTTGAAGGCTATAGTGCCGGAGCTTTGGCTGCGACATTCTCACTGTGACTGACATTCGTCGCTCGGAAGAGGCGAGTCTGCAGAGGCAGAGAGTGCTTCACAGAGGAAGCCTGATCCCAGGAACCCTGTGACCCGGGCTCTGGAGCGCCCAACTCGTCCACGAAGACCTGTGCCAAAAAGCAATGATCTCGTGTCATAAACTCTACAAGGCCCTAAACCCCTGCCCATCCACCTTCCGCGCATACGGGCCCTGAACGCCGTTCATGGAGTCATACACCATGCCTGGCATGCTGCATCGGGAGTTGCCGCAGGCGGCAGTTACACAAAGAAATTGTGAGGTCTGAGTGTGTGGCTGAAGTCCTTTCGAGCGATAAGCTTCTTGATAGCCTCGAAATCGAAAACCTGGGGGCAAAACGGGCGCGCAAACTTCCGAGGGCCTTGGAAAAAGTACTTAAGGCGATGCCGCGGGCAAACAACAGCTCGAAGGCGGCCTTCTGAAGTAGGCCCACGTGATCTTCAGTTCCGTCAAAGACATCCACTCGAACCTCGTGAGGCGCGAAGCTTTTGCAGGGCGGCCAACGGGCGGCCAACCTCCCCCCTCCCTAGCCTCTGACACACACACCCCCTCGGCATAATATCTCAAATCTTAGCCCCTCTGCCGGCACCTTGTCACCCACCACGTATGTGCCGCAAGTGGAGATGTCGATGTTGGGGAAGCCTTTGCAAATCTTGTATTCCTGGAAGCAGCTGGAGATTCGAGGGTGCGGACATGCAATGCCTCATCCTCGCGGTGTCATGGCATCGCTCACTGACACTACCAAACCCATTCTTCCTTTCCGGTTGCTGCCCTGTGCCCGCTGACCCCCTCCCTGAATTCCCAGTAAGTCCTTGATGCTCTGGGTGTTCTGGTAGATCAGGTCCGTAACTTTCTCTATGGCCGACCCACCATTCTCGCAATTGAACTTAATGCCGAAGTCCTGCCACGCAAAAGTTTGTCCAACGCGCAGCACCCGTCAATAACTTAGAGGAGACATGTGCCAAGGTAACGGGGCTGTTCGATTTTAGCGCGTCTACCTTGGACCCTTAAGGTTGTACCCTTGGGTTTTCGGGTCCCTTTTTTCGGATCCCTAAGGGAATATAAGGTCCATGTTAGAAGTGCATGAAGGGGAACCTTCAGGGTTACAACCTTAGGCGTACGAGTCTTCATCCCTTGATCGCATAGGCAGGTCAGCCCCAAAGAATGGAGGTCGCCAAAGACCAGCAAGAACGAGCCTCGTCAATGCCTCCGGGATTGTGGGATGCAGAGAGGATGAAGCCTCAGGACACCGCGACTGAGGGTTGGACTCCATTTTCAACTCACAGGCCGAGACCCTTTGATAGAGATGCGTATACTTTTTTGGGGAACATGGAGAGAAATGCTGCAGGTGCATACATCTGCTGGCAAGATTATGCAGCCAAACAAAGCACGACATCATGCAGACAAAAGGGCGGGAAAGCCAGGTGCATGCATGTGACTACGGGCTTGTTACATCGTGTGGCCGTGGTATTCGAATGTATTCGAGACGCCGCCAAAGGGAACGAAGCCACCCTCTCGGCAGCGAATGACTGCGCTCGCAGCGGGAGTGCTCATCAAGCCATCTTTGCCTCGCTGATACGGGCGTGGCATCGTGATAGCACCATGGGATGCAGTTGCTTGAAAGCTTGCTGACTCGAGCCAAGCCACCGATCCAAACTGCCTTGACCCCGTTCGCCACAGCCATCTTTGTGATGACTTGGATGGCTTCCTGCTGCTTCGAAGCACGGAACAAACTGCAACAGCTCTGACAGGGCTGCGCGCTGCCCTAGCACCTTCTGGGAGCCTAGGACCCCTGTCAGCTAATCTTGTAGAAAGAAAGAAAAGGAGGAGAGAAAGAGAGATAGAGAAGGGGCATGTACGGCGTTCACTGCCACACAAACATGCAACCCGATGGAAAACTTACGCCGCACGTCTCTTCTCTCAGCAGCAATGTGTTGCCTGTCCTTGTTGTAGTACCTCCCATCTCCGCTGACCACGAGGGTACCACCTTCAATTGGCACACCTGTGGACTTCAGGGAGGTGAAGGTGCTCTGCACGAAGTTCTCCAGGTAGTTCTTGCCCATGAAAACCTGGTTTAGGGTTTAGGGTTTATAGGGTTTAGGGTTTAGGGTGCGGGAAGAAAGAATCTGCGTTCCGAAGCCTTCAGGCCTTCTCAAGGAATCAAGCAGCTGAGAGGGTCTCTGACACAAGCCACCACAAGACAGCCACATGGATCGGTCGTGGAACTCTGACCAACTTCAGTTTGCAGAGTCTGCAGATGTTCTTAATTGAAAACTCAATTTGGTGATCCGACTACGTCTCAATGAACCTGCAAAAAAGGGCAGATGAGCCAAGATCCAACGTTCCTGACGCCAAAGCCCTCACCCCAAACTGCCTTCGTCTTCTTGCGCAGGCCGGACGTCCCAGGCTTTTGGCCATCGATGGGCTCCGTTGATTCCTCCGCTGGAAGGCAGTTGGAGATGGGGATGTGCAGGGCGGGTATTGCAAGGTTTTCTTGTCCCGCCCGCAAAGCAGCATCAAGCAACACTTTACAGGGTGTGGGGGTTAGAGCGCAAGAAAGTTCATCAAGATTGAATCATTTGTGTGCGTGCTTCCTGTCACGCGATTGATATTTTCGGAAGGAAGGATCTGCGCGGTACGTATCTGGCCACTCCCACCAACTACCAGCAACTGCATTTGTCTGAAGATGTCTTGTCAATACTGCATATATGGTTAATGTAGTCCGAGACTGGGCCCCACGCCGTCGTCACGGTCAGGTCACCAGCCAGAGCCTTCTCAGCGGCCTTCCTGCGCCCAATGAACGTATCCCAACAGCTAGTTTCATCATAATCGCAAGTTTGAAGGTATGACTGCTAGAATATGCTACGAGTATGAGTCGGCATTGCTGCTCCCCTCAAAGAAGCCTGCACGCGAACATGCACGGCAAGCGGAGCCCTTCGACATGACTCAACACGAAGTGGTCACACCCACATCCCTTCGCCATCTACAAACAAAGCCGGGGGGAAGCTCCTTTTCAGCACCACAGTGACATTGGGAGAATGCTTCACGGGTCCAGGAACGCTGCTCCATTTGGTTCGGACCTGTGCCAAACAACTGTGCCAGGACGGCCCAGCACACACAAACATGACCAGCCTAAGCCTTTATGATTCACCTCCTTACTGGGTGGTGGACGGCCGCGATGGTCGCCAAACCTTCCTGCAAGCTCAGTCTGCAAAGCACACCCTTTTTTCACAAGGGACTCGAAGGCACACCCCAAATGCAACATTCGCGAGCTGAAACATGATGTTCTTCAACAACAGGCAGCCGACTCGAACTGACAGAGTGCGCCGCTCAGCGTGGCAGGGTCCTTCTCCAAAGTGCCACCGATGTACGATGCCACGCCTTGAGTCCAAGACAGTCCAAAAGCTTCATTGACCGATGCAGCCACTAGCTACACATGTCATGGGGCTTAGGGTGTAGGATTTAGGTTTTAGGGTTTAGGGGCTCAGGGATTATTGTAGCCAAAGGAACTGATCGCGTTTCCCAGGGCCATGAGCGTGACGGTGTCCACTGGGGGCTTCTCAGGCTTGTCATCTTTGGCGGGCACGCCTTCCAGAAACGACCTGGATGCGCAGTCTGAAGCATCTGCCCAAACGCAACAGCTGTGCTCGAATTGCAAGATGCTTCAAGCCCTTGGCTCAGAAACTTCAGACAACACCACAAGATGCCACAAGTTTGCGGGTTGTCTCGCCACAGGACATCTATAATCTAGTCAACATTACTCCCCCATGAGTCATGAGGTGCCTCGCCGCACGCAAATAGAATGTTGCGGGCTTGGCCGTGGTCAGCCGCAATTCGACGGCCATGTCGGCTGCGACCGCGGCGCGCTGAAGCGTGGGCAAAAGCTTCGATGAAACAGCTGCAGCCGTGCATGTCGTGGGCTATTCTAGTAGAATTGCAAAGGGCCCGAAGGGAATATGATTAGTGATGATTCCGACCAGGGCTACATGCAAGTCAAACAAGCGCAGCCGGTCGGCACCCAGCGCCAGCAGTCTGTCAAACGACTTCCCCGGCAGAAGTGAACGTGCGACCCTATTAAGCTCGTCAGTTGGCTGGTGCAGGAACCACTGAGCCAGGTGATTCATCATAAAATGCTAAGTCTTACCGTGTGAATCACAGAAGTTAATGTTAAAGAATGTAGTAATATTCATATCAGAAATAATATGTAACATATTCACCACAGTCACAACACTCATAGGATTCATAGCGTTCATAGTATTCATGATAGTCATAATATTCGTAGTGTTCATATTGCTCTTAATTCAAGAAGAACATTCATAAGGTTAAAGCAATAGTGTTCCTGATATTGAATATGATAGAAGTAACGTATTGAATTTCTTCATAAGATGAATAGCATTATGATGGTGATGATTTTACACGATTAACAATACTGACGACGTTCATGAATAGTTTTCATTTAATCTTCATACTTTTCAGAAGCTTCACAAGACTCCTAATTCTCATACTATCAATTGATAGTATTTACAATATTCATGACATAAATGAAGGCATGAAGAACCGCAATAGTAACAATATAGTCTTACTACAACATTATGCGTGTTGATAGAACAGTACTGAGAAGAGGCGGAGGTGATGCCTGTCCGCCCAAGCCGCCATGGCAGCCACCGCTCGGACCTTGCAGACGCATGAGTCGAAGAAATTTGCCGCAGTATATCCCATGACCATTTACGGCCGTATGCACAATGCGCACTTTCTGTGTCCAGCTGTGACGTCGCATGGGCACACAGTCCTTCACAAAAACTGTTGCGCACCAACTCATACACACGCGAGGTCGGAGCAACAGGCGTTCCGATTGGGTTCGGGCACGCGTCCTGGGTGTCGTGTGAGAATTTAGTGACATTGAATGGGTAGAGGCATGAACATCGTCGAGGCAAGTTGTGGCACAAGCCGGCAATGAATCCTACATGCATCGTCACGATTACCCGTCCTGCTTCGAAAAGTCATCGCTCACCTGTGCCAAACACGCATTATGAACTTCGATGCGATTGTCCTGCGCAGCCTTTCGTATTGCATGGCTGCAAGGGTGAGGATGGCAGTCAAAGGCAAGGAAACTTATTGCCTTGCAGTACGAATGCACTATAAGCCGTGTCCGCCCAAACATAATCCAAAACCTGAATGGCCATGCCATGTTTGTCGAGAATCTGCCGAAATGTTGGTTGCCATGCTTCTCGATATGGCAAACTAAGAAACCGCACCGGACAGGATGATGTCGAGGAAGCATGTTGTGTCAGACCATCAGTGCGAGACAGGGGGAATTCCCGAAAGGATAACACAGATGTTACATACCGTTTGGGGCACAAAACGTTGCACTCAGATTCTTGTCGCCACTGAAAGCACAAGCATCTGAACTTGAACTCGCTCTGTCATCTGAGGGCGAGACACGCGTGGAATGCGCCTCTAAAGCCTGCAGGAGCAGCAGTCATGTGCCATCATGTGCCGTTGCTGAGCTCAACTACGCAGTCCTGCTTTTCCAGCCGCAAGCGCGCAGCTTGCAGTTGAGGCGCGTGATCTCAGCAACGTGTGTCAAGTTGGCCGGGTTGTGGCTCACATCTGCACACCGATACTAAGATCAAGGCCTTGCAAAAGCGTTGCCAGATCCTGCACCATGTGGACAAAGATATATATATATATATACATATGTATGTATGTATGTATGTATATATGTATATATACATATACATATACATATATATATATATATATTTTTTTTTATGTATTTCTTTATTGTTTATTTCTACGTAATATTTATGTTTATATTTTGTATTTCGATATGTTTATAAACTTTTTGTATTTTCATATTCACGCACCATCAGGCACCGCAACATCATGGCATCATTCAACGGTCCGCAAGGCCTGCCATCTTCCCTCGGGGATGAGGTCCACGGCCTTCTGCAGCAGCTGACGGCCTGTAGCTGCAGAGTGAGGCAGTGGCCACTCTAATCATAATAAGAATTTAAGAAGAACAACAACAAAAAAACACGATAACAACAATACTAAATACGTGCAAATAATCAATAATAACAATACTGACAGTGTGTTGCACCCTCAGAGGCCAAGCCTTCAGTAGCCGATGCATCCTGCCAGGACCGCGCATCACAAGCTAGAATACCCTCCCCCTAATTTTACACCCCACCTTGCCCCTAACATTAAAAACCCCCCATGATAGATATATCTTATAGCATATGGGGGGTGCATTTAATACTAGGGGGGGTAGGGGTGAGGGGGGTTTAATCTTAGGGATTAGCGCCCTCCTGCCTGCGTGGAAGCCATTGCTGAGGATAGTCTTTTGAATGTTGCTGGGACGAATTTCTGAAAGATGTGTTCTGGCAATTGGAACCATCTTGGACTCCACAGCTTCCTTGAAGTGAATCCCTACCCCCCCTAGTTTTAAATACACTCCCAAAAACGATAAAATAGCCAGAAAGGGGGTTAATAAGGCAAGAACTTGGGCTGTCATTCCTGCCTGATGTTGCTTCTTACGTGTGGGTGGGGGGAGGGGGGGGGGGGCGGATGCTGAGACGAATGGCAGCCGCGGCACGAACAAACTGACCACTGGTAGAAGAGACGATTTCATCTGAGGTCGGCATCAACTTTAAAAATGACCCGCCTCAATTGCGCGTGAGGCCTGTGCTACCTTCTAAGCCCTCCCTCATCTTGAAACCCTGACATGTGTGTGAACTGCTTGAGCCCTCCTCTGTGTTGGTGAGACCTCAAACCCTGGAAGGCCCTCTTTCTGCATCCGGGCTCTGACGAAGCGCGACGGCATCGGCACAGCGTCAGAAGCACATGCCTTGCATGGGATCGTCGTCCCGTGCTTCCGGAATGGCAATCTGCCCAAGACGCATGAGAAAACTGGTCGAAGAAAGACCCCCTTCGAGGATCTCACGGGGTGGGAGCTTGTGGCTTGTCACCTCAAATTCCTTCCTAACTAGTGCATCTTCAGGAAAATTACCTTCATGGTCTAGTTGTACATGTGAGAATAGTTCCGCAATGTTCCGCAGTTGCGACCCCCGAGGAATTTGCGGCGCCTTGTCTTCCCACTTACTACATAACCGTGCCACTGCGCAAACCCTGAAACCTAGAAGCCCTACGCTGCAATGACGTCAAACTCGTCAGAAAGCGTCACGGCCATGACGATGACGATAGCAAGGGTGATCACAGAGGCGATGTACATGGGAAGGTACACGAGGCCTGTCACATGTCGCCCGACTCCGGATCTAGGGACTGAACATCTCTGGCATCTTCCAAACGACCACGGAATCAAGAGGCAGTCAACAACATCCGCTTCTATTGGGCCTCACCCCCGAAACCCCTCCAAGCAAAGCCCAAAGTCCAAAACAAGATCACAAGCCAATGTGGCCCAGCAAGATATCCCACACCGCTTCCAAAGCCTGAGACTTGAACCCGAAGCTTGACACGTGTCATGGGACTGTCGTGCGCAACCCCCCGCCCCCATCTTAAGCATCTTCACCAAAATAAAATGTATCGATGCGACTGGAGCTCTTACGAGTCACTGCTACTCCGAATCATCCCGGCTGCTCTGGGAAGCACAAGGCCGGAGGCTTGAAAGGGGTGCTGATGTCTTGGGTAGAGGAACAATAACGCAGCGCGCGTGTGAGTCTGAGGTTGTGAAGCTCCCAGCTTCCGGAATGTCATGTTCGACATGAGATCTGCAGCCCACGGCTTGGTGCAAAACCTTGTCTTTAGCAGTCTTTGGAAGAAGCCTGGTAAGCTGTGTGGTTCGTCACTCGCCTAGCTGGCTCGCACCGCGCCGCCTGTCCCCTCAGGCTTATAAAAACCTTTTCAGAAATGGTTTTATGGATACAACCAGGGCATAAGCCGTATCACCATCATTTACCACAAATGGCAGTGCCACTGATTCAAGTCAAGCCACTCATCTGTCCTGCTTGTTTGTGCAGGCCTGCCGCGACTAGCAATGCCAGCGCTGTCTGCGCTGACGGCACGCCCGTCTGGAGCATTAACACCATAAATCTTGGCACCAGCTCGAGAACCGATAAACATAGCGTAAACGGCTCTGACGGTTTGGAAGGAAAATGCATTCGCTACTTGGATTGGTGCCGATAAACAAAACACATGCAAAAAAGCAAGTGCAAGTTGCGGCCCAAAAACAGCATGGGCTGATCAGAGGGCAGCACCCCACTCCTCACTGCAAGCAGAAGCAGCGGGATTGAGATCGCTGGCATCACCAGTAGCCTGACTGGCTGCTTCAAACGTCTGATTCATGATTCAGGCATATAACAGTTGAGCCAAGTTTGGGGGTGCGGGCACTCGTTTAGAAACTTTCGAGTTTGGGTCTGGGGCCGGTCTATCCTCAGCAACCCGCAGAACGAGCACACAGGCTCCACTAAAGCAGTGCTACTTGGAGGCTCATGGTACTTATTAACCAATTAAATTATGACTGTACTTATAACTGTACTTATAACTGTACTTATGACTGTACTTATAACTGTACTTATAACCAGAAAAGCCCTAACTAAAGCATTGCTAAGTGCAGTGGGGGAGCTTGATGAAGGAAGCGCCCAGGGCCAGCCGCAGCAGTTGGCCGCTGTCACTTCCTTCCTGCTCCTTACTTCCCCCAGAAGAATTCAGGTTCTCTGAACCCTAAGCCCTAAGCCCTAAGCCCTAAGCCCTAAACCCTAAACCCTAAACCCCAAACCCTAAACCCTAAACCCTAAACCGTTGCCTAAACCCTAATCCCTAAACCCTAAACTACCCTAAACCCTAAACCCTAAACCCTCAAGCCCTAAACCCCTCAACCCCAAACCCTAAACCCTAAGCCGTCGCTTGAGAAAGTACATCAACGACACAAAACAGACCTGAACACAGACTCTGCCAGTTGAACCCAGACGTCATCCAGAATCGGAGGAGGCTTGTCAGCCTCCGGTCGTGCGTTGCGCGCATCGCGGCGCTTCTGAAATTCAGCTCGCGCTCCCGCGTAGAGCGAAGCTCCAAGAATCATGGTTGACAATGGGACAGCCGCCCGTCCGAAGTTATAGGAGAACGAGCCGACGAAGCGGAGGGGTCCGCCAGCTCGCTCACTCAAGAAGTCTCGAAGCGGAGCAATACAGCCAACGACAATCCCAACCAGAGCACACCAAACAACACTGTCCACCAATCGCAACTTCTGGAGAATGTTGAACTTGGACGATGTCGTAGAAGCCGTAGAAGCTGCAGCATCTCCACTTGTTTCTGTGCTTGCGGGCTTCATGGATAAGGCATAAGGCCGGCCTATGAAGAACAAGGACATCGTCCAGACCTTGGGACTTGGGACATTGGAGAGATTCCAAAACCCACTGCTGCTGGTATTGTTTCTGCATGGCAAAAAAGCTGCCTGGTTGGGTACTCACATCTCGGCAGCACCAAATCATTAACGACTGCCATAAGACTCTGCCAAGCATGGGCACTATATTTTGTGCATTGCGGAGAAAAAAGACACAACATGACTTGATTCAAGCCGAACAGGGAACGATTGCGAACAGTGAGATCACGGCAAAGCCTTCCACGAGCGCGTCGTCTGGATTAGCATTCACTCGCTTCCAGTTGGTGACAATCCTTGACAGCTCCCCCGGCCCTCATCAACACTCTGCAAAAGACCCCTTGAAGCATCATGGAATTCTGCGACCGCACATCCGAAATCCATCTGAACAACAAATCCAAGAAGCGGTGGTATCAGGACATAGGGCAGCGCACCACAGTTCCCAAAGGTTGTGCTAAGAACCAGAATCTTGGAATAGGGCGACCGCAGGCGCAGAAGGAGCGAACCCATCCGACCGAGCAGAGCCCCGAGAATCATGACCTGGCTTGGCTTAGGGCTTAGGATGTGGCATCGCAGGCGGGAACAATGTCTGAAAACAGCTTTGCGCCGTTGGGATGTAGGGTTTAGGGGTTGAGGATTTAGGATTGACTTCGGATTTAGGGCTTGGGATGGCTTAGGTTTACATGGGTGCAAGGCAGTGGTGTAGGGCGTTAGGGGAACCGAAGCCCGGACGTTCAACATTTTGACCAAGATGCCAACGCAGAGCCCACGCAAGCCATGTACCATTTGCCGAGCATGTCGATGGAGTAGACACGGAAGTTGGAAAATGCGAACACCTTGCATGCATGGCCAAACCGGTTGACACCACGCTTGAACTGCCTGTATGGCGTTCAAGTGATTCATAAGAGGGCCAAAATAAAAGTTACGAGTCGGGTAACAAAGGTACTGGAAACATGACCTCCAAAAGCAGCTTGGAGAAACTCCTCAAATCTTGCGCCGCCACGACTTGCCTGAAGTCGGCTTTATGTGAGGAAACGAGAAACCGCTGCACATGGGGAGCGGGGGATGCCTTAGAAGGGTTGCAAAAAAAATGGTGCAGCGGCTAAACCCCCCAGAGCAAGTCGCCTCGATGGAACTAAACTACACTTGTTTTTTCTACCTGCATCTGTTCACGCACGGTGCTTGAATCACACGTCAACCGACAAGCGAGAAGCTGCACAAACAACAAGCAAGAAGCTGCACGCAGTCAAATTAACTGAAATGCCCAAGCGCGTATTGCAACACAACTACAAGCGCCGAGCAACTTGTGCATGGCATAGGCGCCAGCACAACAAATCAGCAGCGCCTGCAGGTTGCACTTTCAAGCTTGCATGGCCACAACCCGAACCATTGAGTGGCAAGAAGCTCAAGTTCAGGCCGGGGCCTCAGAGTTTGCATACACCGAAACCAAAACAGCTTCCGTGAAGAGCGCCATGGCGTGGCCTCTGATAAATGACCTACAGTCCGATGGCTTATGGGTTTGGGGATTATGTGCGGCTGGGGGAAGGTTGACCTTTGCGAAGTTGCGTTTTTCTGCATGCGATGTTTTGTACAATGGCTAACAGCGGCTCGCAGCTAAATTGGTGCCATCGCAGGCAGGCATGCATCTTCCCGCAATGGCTACAGTAGTGGCATGTTCCGTACGGCCAGCGACCTTTGCACATGTTTTTTTTTTCCCGCACCTGTTTTACAGCTGCTCGACTGGGGTCCGGGTCGGCAACTACAGCGGCTCCACCAGCAGGTCACCGATGGGCACCTCGGCGCCGTCGCTGGGGTCGACGGGGCATGCCGGCAACTCCAGCAGAGTGGCTGCATGCGCCCGCAGCGCCGCCAGGGAGACGAGACCCGTCCAGCGGCGGACGAGCGCGCGCCCCGCTGCCCCCGAGCACCACGGAGCGCGCGCTGCGCCTCGTGCCCGCGCCAGCCGCCGCAAGAAGCCAAGCGCTTCTGCTCCGAAGCGTCCGCCCACTTCGAGGCCGAACACGACGAGGCGGCACCTGCCACGCCGGTCGGGGCGGAGCTCAGGGTAGGTGCGGCGCTTGCGTGCTGCTGCCTGTTGGAGGGCGAGTCCAGGCACAGCGTCGCACCCGGCGCGAGCTTGCCCGCTACGTTGGACTGGGCTGACGAGCGTGGTGTCGACAGCCACCTGCACCCCCCGCCAGATGGGCAATCCATTGGCGACGACCTCTATGCGCCGCGCATCACTGGCGGGCAAGTCCAGGTTCATGTCGCGTAGCGCGGTGCTGGCGGCCACGCGTGCCCCGGCTTCTCGGCAAACCCGTGCCGCCGCGCGCTCAAGGGGACCAGCTCGGTGGGCCAGCACCCCCACTTGAGCGCACGCTGACCTGTGGTCCCCATACTCATCCAGCGCCCCCCCACAGCGGCATCGCTTCGGTGCCAGGGGGAGCGGCATGCGGAGGCGGCGTAAAAGCATGATCCGGAATTCGTCGCTGGGGACGGCGAAATCCGGTCCTGTGGGCAAAACGGTCATTGCGCAGCTTGCGCCGGGACCGCTTTGGGACAGCAGCAGCGCTCGAGACGCGGCGCCATCGCCTCAAACCCCTGCAGGCGCAGCCATGCAGCCGCGCACTCTGCCTCCCTGGTGCTGGGCGGCATGGCAGATGCCTCCCCGAGCATCGGGCGCAGTATGTCCGCCAGCGCCTGCGGGTGGCACTCCTTGAGCGCCGCGATGGTGTCCGCCCAGGACGCCCAGTACGCCGCGTGCCGATGCGCGGTAGCCGACGGCAACCCCAACCCCCCCATGCAGAGTGGCAGGTGCGCCCGCTGCGCGCTGGCTGGTGGTATCGCAAGCGCGGTATCCGCCCCCGAGAGCAGTCTGCCCAGGCACTCCAAGACTGCTTCATCGTGCGCAGCAGCGAAGGAGGCCGTGTCCGCTGGCGGGACGGAGCGCAGGAGATAAGTCCAACGAGGGGCGGCGCAGAAGAGCAACAGTAGCCACGCGCACTGCAGGTCTTGCACGTCCGGCAGCCGGGCGAACAAGGCCGCATGTTTGGCGCGGGCCTCTTCCAGCGTGGCGGCGATGAACTCGCGGGTGCCGACAGGGCTGCCCAAAACGAGCAGTCCTTGATTCGCCGCCGGCAAGCTCCAGTCCCCTCGCCAACACGAGACGCCATCCTCCCCGGGCGGGATCGCCGCGACCAGTCCCGGCGGCTCCTCCCCCGCGGCATTCCAGGCCCGGGTTTTGCCGAGGTGGATCTGCACGTTGGCATGCCTCGGCAGACTCGTTTGGGCGACGCGCAGCACATCTAGGGTTCGTTCCGGGTCCGACGTGAGGTACACGTCATCCAAAAACGCGAAAAGGCCTTCCCCGGGCTGGAGCCCTGCGTGCAAGCGCGCGAGCGCTTGGTGCTGGCCAAGTGCATATAGCCCCGGCATCAATGGATCCCCCTGCTCCCCGCCCTCCCCTTGCAGCACTTCGTGCGCGCACCCCTCGGCATCGTAGAAAAGGTAGCGGCTACTGCGGGCATAGAACATGGCGGCGAAGGGGAGCAAACCTGAGAGCTGAGCATGATCGCGAAGCCCGCCAAGCATGCTTGCTCGGGAGATGTGGTCGTAAGCCCCCACGCCGTCAATGCTCAAGATGGTCGTGCGCGGGTCCGCTTCCGTGGCCGCGCGCAGCGCGCGTACCAAGGCCTCGGGGCCCGCCCTCGTGCTGAGAGCGTACTGGAAAGGGGCACAAGCCTGCTTGAACTGCTCCGCAAACTGTTGCGCAAGTGTGCGACTGACGAGTCGTCGAAATACGTCGCCCATCACCAGTGCGCGCACACCTCCACCGGGCTTGCTAAGCGCTACCATTCGTCCCAAGCGAAGCGCCTCAACGACCTGCTGTGGGATGTCAGCCCGCGCTAACTTGGCCGCTGCTTGCTGGATGAGTTCAGTGGTTTGCTCATCGTCCAGCAAGACACGGAGATGCTCGTTGGTGCACCCCGAAGGCCCTGCCGCGGCGCCCCGTCGCGCACGACGCAGGTTGTCGAGCAAACGGTCCGCGCAGAGCTGCGCCGGCTGGACACTGGGCCGCTGCAGGTCGGCATCCAGCGGGACTTGTGCTTCCTGTGGGCGCCGGCGGGGATCCCGCAGAGCGTCCAACGTCGCCTGCGTGGCGGGGGCGAGGGGGGGCGCGGTGAGCGTCTTCGCCGCCGCCGAGAGCTCGCCGAGGTGAGCGAGAGCGGTAGCTCGCTCAGCTCGTCGTTGCCTGTCAGCTTCGGAATCCTCCGGAGCGGTGGATGTGCTACGCCGCTGCCCATCCCCCTTGCTGTGGGCGGCATCCGCGCTTTCACGCAGGAGTTGCACCCATTGACCAGTGCAAAACATGTTCTCCCTGCGTCGAAGCTCAGAGGGCGGGATGCGCGTCTGTCCGGGCTCTCGGAAGAGAAGCATGCGTGGCGCAAGGAGAAAGAGCGTCCATCCGTCGCGGGCTCCCACTCCCGCGTCACCATCGCGGACCGCCTCGAGCGCCACCCTCAACGCGTTTCGGAGGATGCCACGACACTGGCGTGGCGGCGACTGCAGCGTGAATACGCGTTTTTCCACTTCCGACGCAAGGTCGACTTCGCGCAGGCACGGCAGGTAGGACGGCAAGGGCGCACGCGCCGCGGCTGGCAGTGGCGCTGGGGCAAGCTGCGGCTGCGTACTGCTGGACGCGACCTGGCGAGCCGTTGCGTCAGCGTCGGCGGCATCCGGCGGTGGCGTTCGTCCGGAGCGACTCGCACGTCCGCGGCCAGCCCCGCCGCGGCGACCCGCCCCGCCTCGGCGACCCCTACATCCCCGACCTCGGGCCCTCGCCACACTGGCGGCAACTTGAGCGACGAGCTCATCCGAGACCGCGTCCGCGCCATCTAGCATCTCCGGCCCGTCTCTGCTGAGCCCCGCTCGCAGGTCATCTGCGAGTGCGCGGGCAATGGGGGCGACCGCTGGCCCGCCATACACCTGCAGCAAGGCGGACTGGACGGCCGCCGGGACGTAGCCAGAGGCATCCGTGCACAGAAGCAAAGTGGCTGCCAACGGCAGCGGTGCGTCAGGCAGGGCCCCGAGCTGAGCAAGCACTGCCTGCACGTCGTGGGCGACGGGTTCATTCGGGAATTCCGCCGCGGCCACGGCGCACACGGCCTGCAGGATTTGAGCTGGCTTCTTTGCATCTGACGTGCGCAGGGCGCCCACCAGCTGGCTCCAGCGTGGGTCAGCGCCCGGAAACGCACGCCAGAGATCTACGGCGCCGCCGTCCAGGGACCCGGCAGAAGCGTGAAGCAGGGGAACGTACAGCCACGAATTACGCATCCCTTGCACCTCTCTGGGGGGGCCCGCCATTTGCCAAGGGGGCGCTGGAGCCTCAGTCGGCGTGAACCCCGGCGTCGCTTCCCCTGGCAACGTCGGGGCCACCTCTCCGGCGTGTTCGAAGGGCTCCGCGTCCCGGGGCGACGCGAAGGGCGTATTCACGCTGAGCGTGTCGGAAAGCGTTTCGGCCTCGTCAGCAGCGTGCTCGGGTGGCGGGAGAAGCCGCATCTGACCCAACGCGTGCAGGGCCCGTTCGCGGCGTTCCACCACATCGCTCGCCTGCGGCGGGCCGGGGTGGTCGGCCTCACCAACCCGCCGGCCCAGATACGGATGTGGTGTGTGGTTGACGCAGCGGTCGGTGTCTGCACGGGACGCACGCCGCCCGCCGCGCGACCATTTCGCGTGTAGCCCGCATCCCCCGCCACTGCAAGAACCCCCCTTAGCAGGCACAGCCATCTTTTTTCCGAGCGCGGCAAGGGCTTGAAAGAATCCTCGCGCGTACGCGGGGTCAAAAAAGGCAGCCGGTGGGCAGGTCCCAGGCCGTCGGGGTGCGGCCTCAGCGGCGGCGAACTGCACTGGCCGCCGCGGCAGCCGCAGCCTCCGCGGCTGCCACAGCCACCTCCCTGGCCAGGGTATCTGTGTCCAAATCAGCCCTTCTGCCACCGTTGCCCTTGCCCTTGCCTTTGCCCTTCTTGTGCTTGCCTTTGGCCTCGCCTTTGCCGCGGTCGCTGCGTGCCACAACCTCGGCCGGGCGGTCCTCGGAGTCGCGGCTGCGGCTACGGCTGCGGCTGTCGCGGCGACGAGCTGGTGGCGGTCCAAACACAAGGGCCTCCAAACCGTCTGCAGTCCCATGGAGCAAGGACGCCGCGGCGCCTTCCAACCAGGCTGGCATGTCTTGTCCATGCACCATGGCTTGCAGGCGTGCCACTGCGTCGCACGGCCCGCATCGCCCGCGATGTCCGGCCTCCCGTCGCCCACAGA